TTTATCCAGATCAGCCCTGGCTCAGAATTTTATGTGAGCATGTGCATTTGAACAGTGTTCCTCTAATTTATATTAGAAAAGAACAGTCTGAATCTTTAAACTGTTTTTATATTTTCCAAAGAAACAGGCGTGCATATAGCTATAAGAATTGGAATGAATTTCATTTACTTTTTCTTTATCTATTTCTGGACACTGTTGCTATAATTCTCAGAGTAAGTTTTTTGTAAAAAGACTGGCTAAGAGTACTGGCGGTTCAGTTGCTAAATTCTGTTTTTTGATTCCTCAATATTTCTGAAGTTTTGTGTGTTTTTTGCTTTCAATTTGTACAAAATTACTTTATTTCCATTCTCATTCTTTAACTTTTCAGATGAAAACTGTTCCTTTTATAAAGAAATGCTGAAACACTCATTGGAGCCATTTTGCCCTTCCAAATAGCACAGTCTAAAAGCTCCTCCTTCCCCTCAAAATGGGGCTCTGCACCCAGAGCCCATTGGAGAAGCCGAAAACAGAATGCCCACTTTCTGACACCTCACCCCACAAACTCTTCCTTTTGGCATCACTGTTAGAGTGTCTTCTAATGTCTTTTGGAGGTAACGCAGGAATAGGAAATCGAACGTTTTGAGGAATCTCTCAGCTACTGGGACAAGAGCTGGAAAGGCTCTGTTGCCTGTACTGCAGGACACATCCTGGTTTCCTGTTCCGATCCTACTAAGTATGAATTCAGGATGACCTATTACTTTATTCTAGCTCTTCCTGATTCATTCTCTCCTAAAATAAAATAAAACTTTCATTTGAAGGAAAATTTTTGGGACTGACTTTTATGGATCTAACCTCAGAGACTTGAATTTATTATTATAAAACTGCCATCTCCATGGTACTACTTCCAATATGAAATAGTTCTGCTTGATAGCCCAGAATTACAATTAGAAAATAGTTGTGGTCATTCAAAATGAACAGTATCCACTCCTGCATTTTTTAATAGGCAAGTGCTTGTCTGGTGTATTTTGTAATGTAACTATGATTTCTTAGTATTTAGAACAGAGGCTTTCAAGTTTTCCATAGTTTTGTGGTTAAGACCCTGATACCTTCCTTCCAAGGTTAGGGTGCAAATGGTAGATTTTTACAAAAGTTTATTTTCAAGTTGGTTATTTGGAACAGAGCACTGTTCCTGTAGGATCTTAGCCTTCTGAGCTCTGTTACACATGTCTTCTATCTCCATCCCATGTCAGCAGCCTGCTTTCAGGACTGTTGTCATGGCTTGTAACTGCTTTCTGTTCCACAATGCCCTCCCAGATCTACTCTGACCAAGATCCACTCTGACCACAGCTAACTTAACCTGACTCTTCTCCCTTTCTTCTATTCCCCTCCGAGGGCTCTCTGACCCTTCCCCAGCCTTCCATTTGTTTAAAGCAGGCGTCTTCAAACTACGGCCCGCGGGCCACATGCGGCCCGCAGAGGAGTCTGATCCGGCCCGCCAGGTTTTTTGGGCTGTGAGCGCAGCCGAGGTGTTACAGTAGGAATTAGTAGTTCATATAGTCTGGCCCTCCAGCTCTCTGAGGGACCGTGATCTGGCCCCCACTTTAAAAAGTTTGAGGACCCCTGGAAAGAAAGAATTGGGTTCATTTGTTCGATCCTCCTCTGGCCTCCCATTTTTAAACTCCTCTCTGTAGATTCCTGCTGGGTGTGGCTGGGAACATTCCATTATGATGCTGGTTAGTTTCTAACTCTTGCTGGAGCTTTAGGAGGGCTCAGCAGATCCTTTTTATTTATTTTTATTTTATTTTATTGATTTTTTTACAGAGAGGAAGGGAGAGGGAGAGAGAGTTAGAAACGTCGATGAGAGAGAAACACATAATTTTTAATTTGGATCCATGATTTCCAAATGGTTTGTGAAGTGGGCTTGGCATTTTTTAACTTGAATGGTGGGGGGGGGATTTAGATTTTTATTTGCATCACCTTTTATTTGAAATTTAGCTTTTTTCCCCTCCGTTATTAATGTAGGCAATAAACCACTAGCATTTGCAATATCTGTGACTCTAGCACCTATAGCATTCAGTAATTTTATATCACTTGTATGGATGTGGATATCTAAAAAATTACTTATGCTCGTTGACTCTTTAAAATTCCAATAGTTACTTGCTGTTAGAATTTACTATTTACTGATTAATAAAGAAGCATATATCACTAAGGCACAAATGTGGGGTTTTTGTTTTGTTGTTTTGTTTTGATAGCTGCATTTCATTATATTTTATTTCCTATGTCCTTTATGCAATTAAATCCATAAGATTCCCTAAAATGCCAGAGGGGTACATGTTAAGTCTGATAATGATTTTAAGAATCCCTAATCTAGAGGCTCCCTGTGCCCCATTTCCCTGAAAACCCTCTCTTATCCTCTCTCCTGCCTTAGGACCTCCCTCCATTAGTCCACTTGGTTCTGCTGTTCCTACCAACACAGTCTGGGCCCTCACTGTGTTCATTATTTCCATCTTGTTTCTTCATGCTATTCTTTAATATTTCCTATATAATAAAATGCCTACTTTAGTATATGTTTATGGTGTGAAAGTTCATAAAAATAGGAGTAAAATACAAAGGTAATCTCACCTATACAGTTTGGAGAAATTATTTTATTAAATATATTTTTTTAGTTGAAGCGAGAGGGAGAGGGGGGGAGAGAGAGAGAAACATCAGTGATGAGAAAAAATCATTGATTGGCTCCCTCCTGCACACCCCACACTGGGGATGGAGCCCCAACCTGGGCATGTGCCCTGACCGGGAATCGAACCGTGGCCTCCTGGTTCATAGGCCGGTGCTCAAACACGAAGCCACACTGGCTGGGCAGAAATTTTATTTCTAATGCTACTCTAGTCTATATTATAAGCCCTTTCCTTCCCCCTATTTAATTCATATATACATATACATATACATATATATATATATATACATATATATATATATATATATATATAAAATTCCCCCCCAGAAAGAAAGAGAGAATGACTAGAGACCAGTGAATTCATGTTCAGGTAGGATCCCTAGCGGCTGCCAGCTGCGGCCTTCCTTTGAACCCACCTTGACCTGATGCTGCCCACTCACCTGCTCCACCATCCCTCGGTTCTGCTCTCCATGGGGCCCATCAGAGCTGGCAGCACCTACACTGCTAACTGCTGCCAGTGCTGCGTCGCCAACACCCACCATGTTCTGCACTGCCCCATTGGTCAGCGCACGTCTAACTCCCAGTTGGTTGAATTCCCATCCGTAGGGATAATTTGCGTATTAGCTTTTTAATATATCAAATAGGATGAGAGAGAATCACTAATCTGCATGCCTCTTACCAGAGAGAGAGCCTGCAATCCGGGCATGTGCCCTGACTTCTTGGTTCATAGGTTGACGCTCAGCTGCTGAGTCACACTTGTTGAGCACCCCTACTTAATTCTTGCTTGTGTTTTTGAAGGCCTTGATCAACTATTGCTTTTAAGGCTACAACCTCTTATTCTCAGAACTAAATATTTGCTTCAATCTGTAACTACTCTTCCATATACCTAGAGTTCCTGCAGAAAAAGTCAGGGGTTCTATCAGATATGAATCCCCAGATCATCCAAACTCAGTAATACTCAGTAAATATTAAGTATGGTCTCATTTGTGAGGTTGGCACCCACTACAACTGTAGACTATTGTGTATAGATTCGTTCATGTATAACTGATGGTACATGTTAAGAAAATACTTTTTAAAGTAATTGAAAAAGTCACGTTATTAATAAAGGTCAAAATAGAATGATATCATTGAAATGAAATTTTTTATTTATCTAGGATTTCAGTGTTTGAGACCTAGTTGGTTTGCTTAGTGGATAGAGTGTCGAACTGCAGACGGAAGGGTCCCAGGTTGGATTCTGGTCAAGTGTACAAAGGACGGGTTGTGGGCTGGATCCCCAGTAGGGGGTGTGCAGGAGGCAGCCGATCATCAATGTTTCTACCTCTCCCTCTCTTTTCCTCTCTGAAATAAAAATACCTATATTTTTTTAAAAAAATTCAATGTTTGACAAAACATTTAATTGAAAGATGAACTAGATAGTTGAGGATTTTGCTGAAGACTTTTTCTACAATAGAAGCATATTTTAGGGTTTCTGATGTTAAGTCTGGTAATGATTTTTAAACTTACAGTTTTATGTCATTTTGTAGTTTTTTAATATATATGTATATAAGTGTGTGTATATATATATGTAAGTATATATATGTAAATATATATATGTATGTATGTATGCATGTTTGTGTTGATTTCAGAGAGGAAGGGAGAAGGAGAGATAGAAACATCAGTGATGAGAAACATCATTGATTGGCTGCCTCCTACACCCCCCATTGGGGATCCAGCCCACAATTTGGGCATGTGCCCTTGACCAGAATTGAATCCGGAACCCTTCGGTCTGCAGGCTAATGCTCTAGCCACTGAGCCAAACCAGCCAGGGTTCATTTTGTAGTTTTAATAAATTTAATTTATATTACGTTATGATATGCTACTAGCCTTTAACTTATTTCACCACTATTCTGGCTCTTTAAAATATTCTTCAACAAATTTGCATCTTCAAGTCATAATTGACTAAGAAGTAAAAGAGGAAAACTTAAGGAGAGCACCTATCCCATTTCCTGGGTATGGAGCTGAGGGAATGAATGCCTATGGGGGGTGGGGGTGGAGGGGAAGCCTATTGGTTGAGGCATTTCTTTCCAATCACCACAAGGTGGCACCAGTAGCTCAGAATGATGGAGTGTTTGCCCAGAATCAGAAGGGAAGGCTTTGAGACCCCACCTGCTGTAGGGGTAGATTAGGGGAGTTTGGAGGTGGGGGTGGGGCATGGGGCAGATAGTTTTATACTCCTTTTTCATTATAGTCTAGAGATTTTTGTAAATTGGATGTTTATAAAGCAGGGAATTAAGCACATGATGAATTTATATCCATTATTTCATCTGATAATTTTTGTGTGTTTTTTTTTTTCTTTCTGTACCTGTAGTTGCTTCAGAAACAGGTAATATTTTTCTAACAGTCACTTCGTATTCTTGCATCTTGCCTTTATAATGCTTTTGTTTCTTACCATAGAGGATAATGGAAAATTAATATACTCTGACTTATGGCATTAGAAAAATCTACATGCAAATTCCCACAATTGGCAATTGATTATAGCCAGTTGATTTTCTGAACTTTGCTGGCATTCTGGATATAACATTGTACTATGTAATACCAACAATGTTTTTTAAAAATCCAAACATGGCTGTTAATAAAGCACTTTTTGAATTTATAGTAGTGGTTATTGGTAACAGTGTAGAATGGAATATCCAGGTCTTGATTTCTTTTATCTAATGATACAGTGTTGATCTGAAATAGAGTATTTATGACCAGGGTGTTCTCCAGCATCCTGACACTATAGCCTCGTTTTGTTCTGACTCCCCACTTAAACACATCTTTCCCTAAACTTTTTACCCATCTTTAAAAAGGGATTGTCTTTGGGGAAATTTTTATTTTATTTATTTTTAATTTAATTTTTAATTTTTATTTCAGAGGAAGGGAGGGGAGAGAGAGAGAGAGAGAGAGAGAGATGAGATGAGATGAGAATCATTGATTGGTTGCCTCCTGCACGCCCCCTGCTGGGAATCAAACCCACAACCCCGGGCATGTGCCCTTGACACAGGAATCAAACCCTGTAGTGATGCTCTGTCCACTGAACCAAACAGGCTAGGGCTCTTTGGGGGAAATTATAAAAGGAATATCATTCCTTTATTAAGAGAAACACTTTCACATTTTCCCTTCCCCCATTTCTACCTTGAAGTAAAACCATAATGCTCTAAGTAAAAACAGGTGAATAGTTAATTCTTTTTATAAAGTTGGTATTGTAAACATATTTAAGATAATGTAGAATTGGAAAAATAGGTTATCTAATACATGGCCTCTTTCTACAGCCTAAACTCTAATCAGCAGAGTAAAACTTGGTTCAGTGAAGTTGGCTTTTTTTTTTTTTTTTTTTTTACCCGCAGTGGGAGCCTTGCTGTTTTCTTTTAGAATAATAGTATAGTACATTTAAGTTTTGTATTTTTAAATTTCAGGACAGCTTGGCTTGGTCTCTACTCTTTCAAAATACTTTGCCATACATACACACACATTCCTGCAACGACAAAAAGCCTATTTATGTTGTTGTGTTAAAAAAAAACAAAAAAAACTTTCTGCTTTGAGCTTTAATTTTGTCAATAAAAATAATGCTACTTTTAATACTGGGTTTCCATCTAAGTATGTGCTTTATTTACTTAAATATATGCTTTTCTAAAATTAGTGTGATTAAAATATTAACAGGATCTTAACTATAAATTAATAATCCTGTTGCTTCTTACAGAAGATAACATGACTGGTTTGGAATTTTTCTGTAGTCTATTTTTCTGTTCTAGTTTTGTGAAAATTAAACTAGAATTTCATCATCCTAATGTAAGTTATTATTTGATTTTTTTAGAGCATTTCACATTCTTGAAAACACACATCAAAATTAATTTTTACCAAGAATTTGTGTAACTTGACTTAGGGTGAATGTCATGGAAAGCCTAGCTTTTAGGACCATAAGTGGCTTCCAGCTGAATATGACATTATGAAATTAGCATCAGGCTGTTAGACTCTCTTAGAAAGTTTTCCCAAAAAGTAATCACTTCTAGTGAGTACTTCTTCCCATTCTCAGCTACAGTGTGCAGCTCTGGGGAGGCCCTCCCGTGTACACGTATGGCTTTTATTCCTGCTAGCAAAGAGAATTGTGCTGCTGGTAGAGCTGGCAGCTAAGCCCATTAGTGCAGTTATGTCTTTATTTCCTAATGAGTGTGCTACACCTTCATCCACCCAGTGAGGGGAAGTAAAAGCTACATAGGCTTGTAGTGCATCCATAAATTTGCTGGCATACATTTCTTACTTTGTTATCACCTTGCTCACTAGAGAGCTGATGATAGTTTCAGAAGCAGTATCAAATAAAAAAAATCCCCCTGGAATTGGCTCTTTTGAGGAGACACAGCTGTTGATTCTTCCCTTCTTTTCCGTGGTGGTAGCTTGCAGAAGGGGTGAGGGCACAATGATTGGGAGCCAGATCAGCAGAAGTACCACTGCCTCACCCTGTGCAAGGTGATGCCATATGAGTCCGGCCACTTAAGTGCAAAGCCTTTATCTCCAAAGCATTTTCTATTGTGGCCCCAGTGAACCTTTATTTAGCTGAGTCCTAACTCCCAACTAGAGAATGTTTTCCTTTCCTGGGATAGCTGCTATGGATGGATAGATGGATGGATGGATGGATAGATAGATAGATAGATAGCTCCCATCAACCAAACATACTAATGCCATGTTGCTTTCACTAGCTAGTGCTCCTCAGTAATGTTAGAAGAGAAGCAGACACAAGTGAGAAAGAATTGATTGCAAGTTCAAATAGCTCTGCCGTGTGAACTTCTGGAGACAGGAAACACTGTAGGGCCTGAACTTCGTAGCAGGGTAGCTATAGGGAAAAACAGATTCTGTGGAGAATGGGTCACTTAGAATAGCTTCGGTTACTAATGGCAAGAGTATGTCAGGTTACTGATGCTTGCATTTAGACATGGGTTCAGAAAGTTGAAAAATCTTCCCATGTTTGGCTGCAGGACCACTGAGGGCATGTCTTAACTACTGGCTTTTTTTAACAAAAGAGATCGTTTTAGGTGGATGGATAGACATTTTCTGGATTACTTCAAAAACACAAAGTAATTATTTTTCTTATAATTTAATGATTTGTGAATATATGAAAACATTCCATGTGGCTTAAAGTTATATGAAAAACATATCTTCATTAATAATTATCTATGATGCCAATTAAGTTTTCTGAAGTTAGAAGCATCAGATATCTGAAAGCATACCGTTAATGAATGTATTAGAAATTCCTTTTCCATAGTTATTTTTACCATACATCTTTGTTGGTAACTTATGTGTATATTTAGTTTAGTCCATTGTGTGGGTGGTTGTATGATCTTTCAACCAAAAACATCCTTTGCAGATGCTTTTACTGACTCAGCTATCAGCGCTAAAGTGAACGGGGAGCACAAAGAGAAGGACCTGGAGCCCTGGGACGCAGGGGAGCTCACTGCCAGTGAGGAGCTAGAAGCTTTGGAAAACGATGTCGTAAGTAAAATCTGTGGATTACTATCAGACTATGGCTGTGTGATGTGGTATGATATCCTATCGCTTGGATTTAACTTAAGTATATTGTTTAAATATAATTATATTTAAAGCAGCAGTTTTGTGTAAATGTAGATTGTTGTCTGTATTTCCCCTCCTTTCCCCACCTCTCACCCCAGGACAGTAAATATAGAAAAAATGTTTCTTTGGGATGTTTATAAATTATTCCTAAATTTTTAAAGTAAGTCATAATAAGCAACTTACAAATCTAAACCATGGGAAACTGAAAGTGCCAGAATATTTTGCTTTGAGTACTCTGCCCCATAAGGCAGACCAAAGCAAGTGGTATGGTGTCTTAATTGTCTATTGACTCTAGGTGAGGTCAAAGTACATCTTTTAGGCTTATCTGAAAAAGAAGTACTAATTATTAAGGTCTATAGTTAGGTAACTTTATAATTAAAGCAATAAATAAATTTCTTTTTTTAACATTTTTATTGATTTCAGAGAGGAAGAAGAGGGAGAAAGAGATAGAAACACTGATGAGAGAGAATCATTGATTGACTGCTTTCTGTGCACCCCCTATTGGGGATCAAGCCTGCAATCCAAGCATGTGCTCTTGATCGGAATCGAACCTGGGACCCTTCAGTCCGCAGGCTGACACTCCATCCACTGAGCCAAATTGACCAAGGCACAAATAAATTTCTTAATCTAAATTAGGATCATTCTTCATAAAAACCTATTTATAAAAGCCTCTTGGCAAATATTTTTACTTTTCCTATAACACGTCATCTGTAAATCAAATGCTTAATAAAGGCTGTCTTTAGGATTCTGTAAACAAATTTTCTAAATGAGATAGAAAGCAAAGTCTCTTGCCAAAAAGGAGTACCGTATTTTTCGGACCATAAGACGCACCGGACCATAAGATGCACCAGTTTTTAGAGAAGGGAAATGAAGAAAAAAAGATTCTGAAACAAATAGTGTCCTAAAATATTTTATGTGCATTAAAACCCAACATCACAGTCATAAACACATGTAATCAACCCTGTAAAGTAAACAGCAGCATTTAGAACCATTTTAGAGCCGGGCAAGCACACAGAGACCACACAGAGCCGGGCAAGTAAAAAAACTTTTTTTTTAAAGTATATGTGTAGGCTATATTTGGACCATAAGACGCAGGGACCTTTTTTCCCCCCACTTCTGGGGGGGGGAAAGTGCGTCTTATGGCCCGAAAAATACGGTATTTAGGGAGCAAATTTGAATTGGATGAAGAATCTTCCACTGAAATACTCAATGGAAGATTCTTCATCCGATTCAAATCTGTGCTTTATCTTTAAGTCATTGTTCAGTTATAAATATGTAGGCAGCACATCACTATTGATTTTCAAGCTTTAAAGGATTACGTAGAACCCCATGTGAAGGTTCTCAGGTCTGCATAGCCCCTGAGTGGAGGGTGTAGAGAAGCAGGCACTCTTTTATTGGTAGTGAGGCCGATAAGTGGATAGGTGCTTTCTAGAGAGCATTCTGGCACTATCTTATCTGAATTTCAAATACACATACACTTTGGTCTAGCAGTTCTGCCCCTGAGGATTTATTTTTGCCATAATACATGTGTAAGATGTGAAAATAATTATAAAAAAAAATTAAAAAAATAAATTAAGTATGAGGATTTTTTAAAATATATTTTATTGATTTTTTACAGAGAGGAAGGGAGAGAGAGAGAGAGAGAGAGAGAGAGAGAGAGAGAGAGAGTTAGAAACATTGCTGAGAGAGAGTCATCGACCAGCTGCCTCTTACATGTCCCCTACTGGGGATGTGCCCGCAATCAAGGTACATTCCCTTGACCAGAATCGAACCTGGGACCTTTCAGTCCACAACCAAGGTACATGCCTTTGACCGGAATCAAACCTGGGACCTTTCAGTCCCCAGACCGACGCTCTATCCACTGAGCCAAACCAGTTTCGGCTGTATGAGGATTTTTTTTTTTTGCAGCTGTTTCTGATAGTGAAATTGGCTATAGCTTCACTGTCATCAGAGGGTGTGGGTTAAGTTGTTTTAGTGTACCTTCATCCAATTGAAATATTATATGTCCATTAAAAATAACAGTATTTTGGTATGGGAAGATATGTAAGACTTCATGAATGAAAAAGCATGTTGGAGAACAAGAAGATCATATTTGGGTTTTAAAATAAAGAGAGCCAATTATATGTGCATAGGGACTATCTGGTTTATGTCCAAGAAATTATTAATAGTGGTTAGGCACACATTCACTTTTTATTGGGTCTCTTTCTGCTGTTTAGATTTTTTACATGGAGCATAAACTAAGTAATTTTAAAGCCTTCATAGGTAACGGACTTTCTGTCCATGTTAAGGCCTAAGGATTTGTTTTAGTGTTGGGATTACATTATAGTTTTGTTTTGAAATACATTTTTATTGATTTTAGAGAGGAAGGGAGAGCAATAGAGAGAGAGCAATATCAATGATGGGAGTGAATTGTTGATTGGCTGCCTCCTGCATGCCCCACACTGGGGATTGAGTCTGCAACCTGGGACCCTTCAGTCCTCAGGCTGATGCTCTATCCACTGAGCCAAACTGACTAGGGCTACGTTATAGTTTTAGCTGGACTAACATACAGAACTCAAGTTCGATGGGTGACCTTAGAGAAAAGCTTTTGTTTTGAAGTTGCCATGGACATTGCTTGGATGATTCTGTGTTCTCTCTTCTGAGATGGATAATGATTATGGACTGTATTTTGATCCTTTCAACCAGTCAGGCCTTTAAAAGAAGAGTTGAAACAATAAAGAAGTGGTTGATTACCTAGACCACATGTGTCAAACACAAGGCCCGCGGGCCAAATCCGTCCCGCCAGGCCTTGCAATGTGGCCCGCACCGCGCTGTCATCACTGCACTCCGCTGCGTTTCCATCACAATGACAGTTTATGACTGTTCAGTAAACCATTCGGCCCGCAATTTAGGCTGGATTTTAGATTTTGGCCCCTTCTCTGATTGAGTTCGACACCCCTAACCTAGACATTAATATTCACCAGTGAAGATTCTTGCTGCCTCTGCCCCTGTTGAATTAATTTTTATGGATTAAAAAATGTAGTTTAGCTCTGACCAGGTAGCTCAATTGCTTAGAGCATTGTCCCAATATGCCAAGTCAAGGCACATATAAGAATCAACCAATAAATGCATAAATAATTGGAACAACAAATTGATCTCTCTCTTTCTCCATCCCTCTCCTCCCCCTCCCCCCTTTCCTGCTTCCATTTTTCCCTGTCCTCTGTCAATAAATAGAAAAAAAAATTTTAAGTATGTAGTTTAGCTTGAGAGAATGGTAGTTTTCTCATGATTGTAGAGTTGTGTACACTGAGGTTACAGGTTAGGGTACCAAGGCCTAGAATTTCATTGCTGAGGACCATAGCTACTAATGGCAAGCTGTTTCTAAAACTGCTCTTGTGACTTTGTCCAGAGGTTGCCTGTTTACTCCTTTGAGCCTCTGCCTTCCCAAAGGGAGGGGAGGATGGCAGGGATCTGGTACCCTGCTCCACCTGTAAGCAGTGATGCAGCAGGGAAAGCTTTGGCTTCTCCCCTCCTTCCTCCAAAACAATGCAAATCTTTTTGGCTGTCAAAAAACACTTTGTCCCCCACAGACCTGATGATCAGTCAAGATTTCCAGTAAATACGCTCTAGAACAGCGGTCGACAACCGGTGGTCCGCAAGGTCCAGAAGGTTGGTGACCGTTGCTTTAGAAAGATGGCTGCTAGGGAGCAGGGAAAGGAGAGAACCCTAACCGGAGGGGGCTCATGTTTTATGAAGTAACTGAAATGTTCTAAATTTTTACTAACCTGTCAATCGTTTTATATAGTTATTTACCAACTTGCAGGTGCTGATGCACAAGAAAAGTTTTTCCTTAAAACATTTCTAACGGAAAATTTTGCCTATTTTCTAGATTGTGCTAGTATTAGGTCTAGTAATAATTAATGTCGTTTTCTAATACTTTTTTAAATCGAATTTATTTAAACAATACAACAAAATTTAATCAACAATATAGTTGCCGTTGTTTTCTACTACTTGTGCCCATCGCTCAGGAAGCATTTTAATCCCTCTGTTGTAAAATTCTTGTGATTTTGATGCAAAAAATTCGGTCAATGCATTTTTGAGGCATTCTTCATTATTAAATTTTTTTCCAAGAAGAAAGTTTTGCAAAGAACGAAACAAATGGTAATCGGAAGGGGCAACATCAGGAGAATATGCAGGTTGAGGGAGAACTTCCCATTCCAACTGGCGCAGTTTTTCAGCAGTGATTCTTGCAGTATGCGGTCGTGCGTTATCGTGGTGAAGGATTACGCCCTTCCGATTAATCAGCGCGGGTTCTTTTTCTCTTAAAGTTTGGGCTTACCTTTCCAATTGGGCACTATACACTGCACTTGTAATGGTTTGGGTAGATGGTAAAAGTTCATAATGAAGAATTCCTTTAAAATTCCACCAAACACACAACATCACTTTTTTCGCATGCAAGTCAGGTTTTGGCGTGGGCTGCGGAGCCTCATTTTTGTCCAACCATTGAGGCCGCCTTTTCAGATTAACATACAGCACCCATTCTTCATCTCCGGTAACAATTTGCTCTAAAAACGGCAAACGGTTTTGACGAGAGAGGAGCGAACTGCAAATTGTGACTCTTTGATTACGGTTGTTGTCAGTCAACTCATGAGGAACCCATTTCCCAAACTTTTGGACTTTGCCAAGTGCACGCAATTGATTGGAAATTGTTTTTTGTGAACAATTTAAAGTTGTCGCAAGCTCTTGTTGGGTAATTTGAGGATTTTGCACCAAAAGAGCTTGAAGAGCTTCTTTATCAAAAGTGGACACACGGCCTCGACCACTCTTGTCATCTAACAAAAAATTTCCCTCGCGAAATTTCTCAAACCAACGCTGGCATTTTCTGGCGCTAACTGCATCTTGACCAAGAGCACTACAGATGTTTTTTGCAGCCTCACTTGCTTTTCTTCCTAATTGGAACTCGTAAAGCATGCAGTGCTGAATATCCTCTTCATCCGCCATCTTCTTAGCCCTAGTTTTGCAACAAAAACCAAACCAAACACAAACTTTTTCAAGCAAAACTTGTTAATTGCACTTCACACGTTCTGTAGATACCACGTGTTTGAAGGTTATGTCAATACAAGTCAACGCCAAGCAAGATTTTAAACGAATGTTTAAAAACGACTAATTATTACTAGACCCGATATAGTATAGTAGGATAGATATTGTTAATGCAGATATTGATTGTAACTGAATTAAAGAAGACAAATACTTTGTCATTTTGAAAAATGAGCTTCATTTTCTTCTAGTCTAATGGATGGGATCCCAATGATATGTTTCGATATAATGAAGAAAATTATGGTGTAGTATCTACATATGATAGCAGTTTATCTTCATATACGTAAGTTCAAAAAGTTTGCTTTTATTTTAGTGCATTTGTCTCTGGTTATCAACTTAAATTATGATGTTGAGTAAATTCTGTTGCTTTTAAATTAAACAATTCTGTGAAAGCATTATCTATTACTCCCCAAGCTGTTAAATTCCCGTTAAACAGGGAATACACATAGTTTACGTATACTCTAAATGTATGCTGTATAAACATTTTATAAACTAAATTAACAAGTCTAGTAGTTATGGGGGAATAATCAATTTAACCGGTTTTGGAAATGTTACATTCCTTTAGAGAAAAGATAATAACATAATTCAAATTTTGATTTATAATATTTAGATGACTGTAACTCTCTTACAGTTTTACCAGAATCTCAAACTCTAAATTCCCTTAATAGTTGTGACAATTATATAAACTATGACTTTAAAATACTCACTTTTTGTTTTCCTTGTGTTTCAGGGTGCCCTTAGAAAGGGATAATTCAGAAGAATTTTTAAAACGAGAAGCAAGAGCAAACCAATTAGCAGAAGAAATTGAATCAAGTGCCCAGTACAAAGCCCGGGTAGCCCTGGAAAATGATGATAGGAGCGAAGAAGAAAAATACACAGCAGTTCAGAGAAATTCCAGTGAACGTGAGGGTCACGGCATAAACACTAGGTATTTAAAGGAAATCATGATGCAGTATTTTGGATACACCATTCAAGGTCTGTGTGAGAAGGTGTATTATTATTATATTTCATCTTCTTTTAATGTAGCTTAGGCAGGAAATGCAAATGGAATTGCTTTAAGGTTCTATTAGAGAGAAGATTATAGAAATCTTGGGAAGTATTTTTAGAGCATCAGCTTTCTGTTGTCCAGTGTTGGATATATAGCGATGAGAAAGCCCCGGCCTGGAAGAGCTCATTTAGATTAGCGGTGTGTTCAAAGTACTAGGGACGTTCAGAGGGAGGAGGAACGAGCATAGCCTGTATGGTCAGAGGGGGAGACATTTTGTGATGGCATCAGCCACTCAGAGAAACAGAAGAATTCCTCACATGGTGGAAAGATGAGTGGAAGAACCCCAGCAGCTGAGGGAAAGGCCAGTTTCATGTGTGTAGGTACAGGGTGAGTTTAGAGGGTGCGAGGGTGGCTGCAGGTGATAGGAACTGAGGGAGCGAAGGGCTTCACATGTCACGTTGAAAGAGCACCTGTAGGCAGGGGTGATATGAAGGGACTCTGGGACTAGTGTGAGAACTTGGTAACGAACGAACTAGACCAGGGCTAGCAGTGGAAAGGTTAGAAAAACCAGGGGAACAGGTTTATTTGATAACTAAGTGGGCTGGTGGTTGAACTATTAATGGAGACAGAAAATGTGGAGCAAGTTTGAGGGGCTATATAATGAGTCTATCTGTGCAGTTTATTGCAATAGAAGGCTTCACAGATCTTTCATTCATCTGTCAGACATGTGTTGAAAAGCACCTGCTATATATTCGGTAGCATAAGATACGCATCCCGTTTTACCACACTCATAGCTGAGAGTCTGGCGATTTGAATGAAAGTGTAAGTGGGAGATGTTGAGGCTGAGACTGGCAGGGGACTTAGGATTCATCAGCATCGTTGATAATAAAGTCATGAACAACCTTGAATAAGCGCAGAAAGAAGAGATCTCAGAGAAACGAGAGAGAGCCAACAAAGAAGATAGGCAATGATTAATAGTCAGCCATGAAGCGGCAGAGTAGATTAGAATGAACACATGTCTGTTAAACTTTGCTGAGGAGGGAAAATCTGAGGGAAATGAAAGATAGGGAGCTAGAACTCAGTAAATTGGAAGCCAGGGGTTTCTGGGAGTGGGGTTTAGTATTTAACCTTTTTATAAGAAGAAGTCCCTTCTGCCTAAATTACTTTTAGGTTTGTTTTATTGGCCTGGTTCCTATTAGGATAAAATAATTTAGAGGATCTCTCCTTTTCAGGGAAAATAAATATATTCCTCCTGGACAAAGAAATAGAGAAGTCATGTCCTGGGGAAGTGGGCGGCAGAATTCACCGCGAATGGGCCAGCCGGGATCGGGCTCCATGGCATCGAGATCCGCTTCCCACACGTCAGATTTCAACCCGAATTCTGGTTCAGACCAAAGAGTAGTTAATGGAGGCAAGTATTTTGACCAAATTTTTCAGTGTTATTAATCAAATATATCGCTTTCTAAATAATTACAAGTTTACATAATAAGAAGTGCACACCTTAATTTCTGTGGAGTTGTTTTCAGTTCAAAAAATTATTTAAATTTACCTTTGTGAATATCAAATTAGTAAAAGTTAGTATAAGTAATTGGAATGCATTTAGCATAATGTGTTAAGATAAAGTGCTAAATTTAACCAAAGACATTCACTTGGCAAATAATACAAAACACTCCACATATAAAGAAATTGGAAACTTTGGGTAGGTTCTCAATTTTTAAAACACTGGATGATAAAGTTATTTACACAAAATTTCAATGGAAAATCCTATTCTGTGTGAAACACTTAGTGGTTAATATATATTCATTTTCATTTACTGTTTGCTTACATATTTATATTCTGCTTACTTCAAGAAAAGATTTGAGATGACAAGACATGACCAACAGTCATGTGAAGAAGGTGACGAGTGAAATGTGCTTAAAAAGCAACCAAAACAACTCTTAGTGTAAAGATGGCTATTGTAGTTTAAGTAAAAGAAACTTGCACGCATCTTCAGTAGGAGATATTTCTACTCTACCTCATGACACACACATAGGTCATGGATCTTTAAGTCTGGTACACACTAGACAGCAATACTGTAGACAGTATGGAAATACAGTAATTAATAATACTAACTTAGGGGAGAAAGCGGGCAATCCATTTTAGGTATCTTAAGTTTGGAAAGTAAGGAGGGAAAATAGAGAACACTAAGTTTCCAATTTCATTTTATTGAGTCTTTCTCCAGAATTCCTCTCCAAATGAACACGCTTGAGTATTTCATATACTTAGTATTGGGGGTGAAATTTCTTTGCTCGCTGAGTAAAGAATTTCCAGTTGTTCATGAACAGAATTTCCAAAGTAAAATCCTGAAGGGGCTGGGAAATGTATGATACTCAAGTGTGTGGCAGCCTGTGGAGAGGAGACCTGGACTCTTTGCTAAGACGAAGGTAAGTGATATGCTGTGTTTACTGTTAGCTGTATTTTGACCTGTGCATATCCATCAGTGGCAGTTATTTGGTGATGACTGCTCTGTAGTTCGTTAAGCAATTTCTTAGATAAGTTAATTTAGATAAGAAAAGCTGCAAAATTATACAGAAGGTCCTCCTTTTTATTATTTGATAAGATTGAAGTGTTTTTCGAGAAGGCACTGAATATTAACCTTTGTCACTCCCATGACTCTGGAAAATAGTGGAAGAAATATTTTATTTCTACTTGAATGAACTTGCTTAATGAGATTTCAGACTGAAGCTTATGTTCAAGTATAAACTAGATGAAAATCACAAATGGTTATGAGAAACCAGCATTTTTAATGGGATTTTATAGTTAGTGCTTATTTTCATTATATTTCAAAAGCTAAAACTAATGTAAATGTTATTCCTGAGTTTTATGATTTATTGTGTGAAATTACTATATGTTATACTTCTTTTATCTATTTATTACTGAGAAACAGTTGTAGAAGTAGGATTAATAGGCAAAGTCTTAACTGTCTTCTTCAGTAGTATGTGTAGATCCTAATTAACCCTTTGGGAACGTGTATTCATTTAAACAGATTAATTTTAAGGAGGTTAAAGTAAAATGTGAATTTATGTCAGTTTAAGTTATGCTAAAACTTATCACAAATCAAATGACTGTCCTCAAAGGGTTAAAATGTACAAGAAATCATTTTTGTCATTTTACTTTTTTTTTCTGTTTACTTTTTCCCTCATTTTTTTCTTTAGTTTTTATACTTTCCTTCATATCATTTGTTCTGTCAGGTGTTCCCTGGCCATCGCCTTGCCCATCTCCTTCCTCTCGCCCACCTTCTCGCTACCAGTCAGGTCCCAACTCTCTTCCACCTCGGGCAGCCACCCCTACACGGCCGCCCTCCAGGCCCCCCTCGCGGCCATCCAGACCCCCGTCTCACCCCTCTGCTCATGGTTCTCCAGCTCCTGTCTCTACTATGCCTAAACGCATGTCTTCAGAAGGTACAATACCACAATTTGTTCATGTTTTTGTTTGTCTTTGTTTAACTCCTATGTGAGTTTATAATTAGAAAAGTTTCCTCTTCATTATTTGATAACCTATAATTTCCGTGTTTTAACTTTAGTTTATTAAAACTATTTCTATTAACCTTTTGTTCATTAGAGAGAAATTTGATAAATGCTGTGTGAAGCTATGAACTATCCTGAATTGTAAGAATGGGGATTATCTCTGCCTGGTAATGACGCTCCTGTACAGCCCCAGCAGGTCTGCCCAGGACCTTCTCCCCGCAGTGCACACTGGGCACGATGATTAATGGCGAACAATGAGCTCTTCACCCAGGCTTGGCCTTCCTGTAGAACCTATCGTTTTATAGTTCCTGGCCAAGGTATTAGTGAACTACCTGTTGGCCAGAGGCAGGAGTGGTGATTTAGGGATACTTTTGAGAGGGACATTCCATTAGCTGCCTTTTGTGTCAACCCTTAGATTACAATAGTGTTTGGTTTTATGTTTGGGGAATTAAAAAAAAAAATTTGCTTTGCAATATTTTATAATGAAAGTCTACTTGAATCTGGAAGAAGTTCTGGATCTAAAGTAAAATTGTTAATAAAAACCATATATAAATTTTTATCTTTAGGGTTTTATTTCTTATTTTTGCCCTTGTGGGAAAAAGAATATAATTCTCAGTCAATATGTGATGCTAATTTGCCATTGCTACACATCAAATATATGGATGTGTTGTAGAAAGATCATATTTTAACTTAAATGTAGTACATACATTAAGAGCCTGTTTTCTGAATGATAATGTCCTTTTGTTCAAATAATTTTTATCTGATTTGTTCATTAAGATTGCCTTTTATTGGCTTCTGTTGAGACTAATACAGTTTTCTGGTATAAAGTGCTTTCCCAGAGAAAACTATGCTGCCTGCTTTTTAATAAATTGTTGCCCTCCAGGCAAGGAGGTCATGTGACCTTGACTAAAGTGGCTAACCTTCAACAGCAGGTTGCACTGATCTTCAAGGTGACTTCCTTTCTCTGAAGGGCCTGTAATGGTGGCCACTAAACAAAAAGTTAAATTCTGTCAAAACACTGTCATAGGCTGTTGTTTAAATAAGTGATGTTGTTGTCATGACTGTGGTGGCTGAGCAGGACTCCATAGTGAGTGTGAGCGTTGACAGTGCGGTGCATGGGCTGCTTGTGGACTGACTGTCGGGCAGGGTCACCTTCTGCTTATTTGGGTGCTGCATCTCAGGTTTCTTGTTAACTAATTGGAATTAAAAATGTTTTCTAATCACGTAGGTAGATGACAGTGAATCATTTTTCAAGTGTGAAGTTCAAAATTAACACTATTAAATAGAGTGGTGTTTTGTGCTTAATAGAGTATATTTTGTTTCTGTAAGTATTTGCTATATTACTCAAAAGAATGAATTTTTTTAAAGTTTTAGTTTGATTTTCATTGAGGTATGCCAACCTACTTTATCAGTCTTTTTCTAAGAGATATAAAAAAGTATGTAAAATATGCATATCCCCAATTCTTAAATCATTCTTTGATAGACTTCAATTATATCTCCCATTGAAGACTATAGTATGTAAGATTAACATCTTTTTTAAGATTATATCCATGATTAAATTCCTGCTGAGGACACAAACTAACGTGACATTATGCAGTTTGGCAGCAGATGAGGTGAGGAGCCTGGGCTTTGACATGAAGGAGTTGGCATTGTCTGGCTTCTCTGGTGAGAGCCATTCTGTCCAGTTTTTACCTATTTTGTTTGAAAGTACAGTAGACTTCTTAAGAAATAAATAAAGTTAATGGGTGACAGAATTAATTATGTAGAATTTTGATAATTCATATTGTGGAAATTTCTTCCCCAAATCTCAATTATTCCGGTTTTAAAAGTCATGCTTTAACAGTAGAATTTTCAGCTGATAGCCTGTTGAGTGAGGAACTGCTTACTAGGGAGAACTGGTTAAGGCATGGGTTGTAAAATTGATTACCATGGCAGAAGAGGTAGATAAACGAAGATTTTAGAGAAATGTGGGGATATGTACATATATATTAATAATACAAAGATATATAGGGATTACTAGTTTTTTGTTTAAAGATATTTTTATAATTTAAAAAATAATATAGAAAATTTGAGGGGCAAGCAAAAAGTATATATGGTAAACTAAAAATTATACCATCATGTAGCCATCACTTCTGTTAGCATTTTATATGTATATGTTTTTAAATGCTTATCAAAATGGATATAGGCTAAATTGCTAAAATCTTTGAAGCATTATGATATCTTATTGTGTGATTTGTTACCATTAACTTCATCCTTTCCTTTCTTTAAAAATAGAAATAAAATAAAATTTATAAAACTTTGTAGCATTCTACAAAATAATTCTGAAAGAATATGGCCCAAAAATATATTTACACACATCCCCCCCCCAAACCAAGGAAAAGAGAGAGAGAATCAGATGTGTGTGAATGGGGCGCTGTGTGTATTTGGCAGAAAAGTTGTACTGATGGACATTGTGGCATTCATGTGATGTTCGCTCTTCCTTTCTTAGGGCCTCCAAGGATGTCCCCCAAGGCCCAGCGTCACCCTCGAAATCATAGAGTTTCTGCTGGAAGGGGTTCCATTTCCAGTGGACTAGAATTTGTATCCCATACTCCACCGAGTGAAGCAGTGGTTCCTCCGGCAGCAAGGACCAGTCCAGCGGGGGGCACGTGGTCATCTGTGGTCAGCGGGGGTAGGTAACGTGGATTAGAGCATGATGACAATGTTCATTTTGTATTTTATTGATTTTTTACAGAGAGGAAGGGAGAGGGACAGAGAGCTAGAAACATCAATGAGAGAGTGACATCAACCAACTGCCTCCCGCACACCTCCCACTGGGGACATTCCCGCAGTCAATGTACATGCCCTTCACCGGAATCGAACCCGGGACCCCTGAGTTCGCAGACCGATGCTCTGTTCACTGAGCCAAACCGGTTTCGACGACAGTGTTGATATTGTAACTTTACTAAATATAAGAAGGGCTGAGCTCAAGCTTATTGAGGAAGTATATGTGTATATATTAAAAATGAAGTAACCAGGGATTGGAAAATGTATATATTTATTCTGGGCTCTACAACTTACTCTCATCATATGTTTTTTTTGTTGTTTTTTTTAAAATATGTTTTATTGATTTTTTTACAGAGAGGAAGAGAGAGGGACAGAGAGTTAGAAACATCACTGAGAGAGAATCATCGATCAGCTGCCTCTTGCACAACCCCTACTGGGGATGTGCCTGCAACCAAGGTACATGCCCTTGACTGGAATCGAACCCGGGACCTTTCAGTCCTCAGGCTGACGCTCTATCCACTGAGCCAAACCGGTCTCGGCACTCTCATCATATGTTAGAGCAAATTTGTGTTCATTCTGAATTTCAGTGTCTCAGTGAGTAAAATTTTGCCTAGTCTATTTATGGACTTGTGATGAGATTCATATGCTACTTATAAGTATGAATATCCTTTTTATATATAAAGTACTGAAATATAAGTTAAGTACAGAATGTAAATGCCATTTGGAGTGATCATATTTTCTATCCTCTCAGCAGCTTGATTCATTCCTTATACATTTATTTTGGGCTCACAGTGCTATGTTGCTTCTATGGCATCTGTATACGGCACTAACTACTGATTATACTTCCCTTACAAGGAATATCAAACACATATGAGAGACCCAAGATTTATCTGTGACTAGCCTAAAGAATGTACTGACAGCAGCTATAAAAGTATAAAAAGTACACACACTTTGACTCGATCTTATAAATAAACTAAGACTGCTTTTTCTACTTACGTTTTGCTTTCATGATAACTAGAGAGAGGGCAGGCAATGATTGCCTTTTTTGTTTCAGTCTTATTTTAATCAGTGCATCAAACCTTTAAAAGAAAAAATATCTTTAAGCTTAACAAACAAAAATATACCAAACTCTGTTAAATTTCTTTAGTTGATATACACCTCTCAGCTTAATGAATATGTAATTATATTGTAAATTCCTTTGGAATTTCTATTTTTTTCTTTGGTCTCCAGTTATAAGTAAAAAATTAACAAAATAGATTTCTAAAAATCTGTATTTTCCATTTCTACTATTAATCATGTGACATACTCAGATCTAGAAATGAATTTTGAGAGTAAAGCATGATTATAGGAGTGAAAGAGTGAAAACATATTTGTCATTAGTACATATAGGACAGTGTAATAAGTTTGTTCTTCATAATAATTTAAAAAATTGCAAATGTTGAATAATAATTTTCCTCTTTGACCCTTGTGACTTAAAGTAATGAACCTCTAATGTGAAGCAAATAGAACCATTTTCTCTAAACCTTTGAATCTGAGCTCTACAAATGGGTTTATAAAGGAATATGAAAACTAATTAAATACTTATTTTGAAACTATGCATATGAGCCTTTGCTTGGTTATCTTCCCCTCCTGGCTAAATTGAATCCCTGGTTTCCTTAGTTACTACAGAATGGATCTTGATGTGGCAAGAGAGAACATATAGGATTGGTTGCAAGCTGCTAAAAGGTGTTTGAGTTTGTTATTGGAAAGAGAAATATCTTAGCCTGTTTCTTAGGGATACACACACACACATACACTTTAAAAAAAAATTTTCTATTGATTTCAGAGAGGAAGGGAGAGGGATGAGAATCATCGATTGGCTGCCTCCAGTACATCCCACAGTGGGGACTGAGCCCGCAACCAGGGCGTGTGCCCTAACTGGGAATTGAATTGTGACCTCCTGGTTCATAGGTTGATGCTCAACAACTGAGCCACACCAGCCAGGTTACACACCTTTTTAAAGAAAGAAACGGTCTCACTTTTTTTTTTTTTTTTTTTTTCAAATATATTTTATTGATTTTGTACAGAGAGGAAGGGAAAGAGATAGAGAGTTAGAAACATCGATGAGAGAGAGTCATCGATCAGCTGCCTCTTGCACACCCCCTACTGGGGATATGCCCGCAACCAAGGTACATGCCCTTGACCAGAATCGAACCCGGAACCCCTCAGTCCCCAAGCCGACGCTCTATCCATTGAGCCAAACCGGTCTCGGCCGGTCTCACTTTTTAATAGAGAATATTGCCATCTTTGTTTTTTAAAGTGGCATTTATCTTACCTTAGAAATCCAGTTTCTAACTTCATTTAAAATATTGCCTTTTAGACTTAATATATTCAGTTAGAAGGAAAAACTACACTTGTACTTAGTTATTAGTATATTCTCAATCATTACCACTCTTACTAAGACTCTGGAAAAGCAAATCAGGGTGATGGGATAGGATAATTGGGAATATGGAGGTCAGATAGGACTATTTTTACCTAGATCTTAAGAGAAGCTCCTTGAGGAGGTGATATTTGAGCTGAGAATGTAATGGATAACTTTCTTTTCTTCTAGTTCCAAGATTATCCCCCAAAACTCACAGACCCAGGTCTCCCAGACAGAACAGTATTGGAAATACTCCTAGTGGACCCGTTCTTGCTTCTCCCCAAGCTGGTGTTATTCCCACAGAAGCTGTTGCTATGCCTGTTCCAGCTGCATCTCCCACGCCTGCCAGTCCTGCATCTAACAGAGCTGTCACCCCATCTATTGAGGGTAAGAAAAGGCTTCCGATCCGCCCTGTTGTCTGCAGAGTGCAGCGTTACAGGTTGAACATTATACAAAAAATGCTATGCTTTATTCAAGGATAGGTATTTGTGTGCACATTTAAAGTTTTATGTACATGAAGTTAGCTGTTTATTACTACCAATTTTATATGTTATTATTGACTGTGTTTTGTTAAGAGGGTTAACATTCCTGAATAGTAAATCCTATAGAATAAAAGAGTGATATGCAAATTGACCACCACTCCAACACAAGATGGCCAGCGGGGGGAGGGCAGATGGGGGTGACCAAGCCTGTAGGGGAGGGCAGTTGGGGCAACCAGGCCTGTAGGGGAGAGTATTTGGGGGAGGGGGGGGTTGACACCATGCCAGCAGGGGAGCAGTTAGGCATCGATCAGGCTGGCAGAGGAGTAGTTAGGGAGTGATCAGATTGGCAGGCAGACAAGTGGTTGGGAGCTAGCAGCCCAGTGGGATAGGGCCTAAATGGGCAGTCGGACATCCCTCGAGGGGTCCCAGATTGGAGGTGGTGCAGGCTGGGCTGAGGGACACACACACACAAATACCCCATGCATGAATTTCATGCACCAGGCCTCTAATATTAACATAAAATTATTGATGTTTCATTTGTCTGCAAAAGAGAAAAGCCTCTTTAAGTGGAAATACTATTTTCCAAAAGAGTAGGAGACAAAAATTTTTGAATATTTTCCCATTTTACTTTCCTTTTTAAAAAAATTTTTTTTTTAACTCCAACACTATGTCTTTATATTTTATTGATTTTTTTACAGAGAGGAAGAGAGAGGGATAAAGAGTTAGAAACGTCGATGAGAGAGAACATCGATCAGCTGCCTCTTGCACACGCCCTACTGGGGATGTGCCCGCAACCAAGGTACATGCCCTTGACCGGAGTGGAACACGGGACCTTTCAGTCCGCAGTCTGACGCTCTATCCACTGAGTCAAACCGGTTTCGGCCCCATTTTACTTTTCTAACATTTATCTAACTTTAAATTTTTTTTTCAAAAATTATGTTCTAGCTAAGGATTCCAGGCTTCAAGATCAGAGGCAGAACTCTCCTGCAGGGAATAAAGAAAACATGAAGCCCAATGAGACATCACCCAGCTTCTCAAAAGTTGAAAATAAAGGTGAGAACTTTAAAAAGTCTTTAGGGAAAACTATAGAAATAAAAGAGTGCCATAACCAGTTTGGCTCAGTGGATAGAGCATCGACCTGCAGACTGAAGGGTTCCAGGTTCGATTCCGGTCAGGGACATGTACCTTGGTTGCGGGCCCATCCCCAGTGGGAGGTGTGCAGGAGGCAACTGATCGATGTTTTCTCTCATTGATGTTTCTAACTCTCTACACCTCTCCCTCCCTCTCTGTAAAAAAACAATAAAACATGTTAAAAAAAAAAAAAAAAAAAAAAGAAAGAAAGAGAAATAGAAAGGAGTATGTCTAATCTCATGCCCAATATAAAGTATTTTTGTTAAACACCTTTTCTTAGTATTGTGCATATTTAAATGCATAATGTGACAAATACTAAAGTCTATGATTTATGTATTAAAATTTTTATTTTGGTAACTTATTTTCATTTAAAAATTTTTATTTATTGATTTCAGAGAGGAAGGGAAAGGGAGAGAGTGATAGAAACAACAATGAAGAATCATTGATCAGCTGCTTCCTACACACCCTCACTGGTCACCCTCACTGGTGATCGAGTCCACAACCCAGGCATGTGCCCTGACCAGGAATCGATCCGTGGCCTCCTGATTCATTGGTCCACGCTCAATCATTGAGCCACACCAGCTGAGCGAATTTATTTTAATTTCTAGCATCTGATCTTAAAAGAATTCAAGTTAAAGATTAGAAATAAATCTGTAATCATTATTAATTTTACAGGTATATCACCAGTTGTTTCCGAGCATAGAAAACAGATTGATGACTTAAAGAAATTTAAGAATGATTTTAGGGTAAGTGTTGCATTAGAATCTTAAAAAATAAATATTAAATGTTACAAAAAATTTTTATGTTATCAGTTTATAAAAATGGATTTATATGTACAAACACAAACATCGAACCGTGTGCATAAAAAGCTAAACATTCTTAAAGTTGTCTTTGCCTATGCTTTAGGGTAGCTATAATCATGAAGCTTTATAAGAACAATACAGATATAAAATGAAAAGGAATATAATTTTTAACATTTGAAGCTACCATAAGTTATTATTTGGTGTTCATTTGATTACTTGATTCACTGAAGAGCAGAGCAAGACCAAGGTGTTCACTCTCTGATGTGGGGTAGAAGGTACCCTGCACTCTGGGATGGTGATGTAGTTGCAGGTTTACATTTTGAGCACTCATTTTGGCCCTAACTGCCCTCCCCTGCTGGCCTGGCCTGGTCACCCCTAACTGCATGTGGTAGCAATCTTTGATAGACTTGCTGAATATACTGTAAACTCACCTGAATAACTGTTTCATTTTTTGCTCAATATTTACTAATATACTGTGCATATTAAGGTATATTTTGAGACCAACTCAAGAGATCATCCTGAAACTTAGCTTCTCAAAGAGAAAAAAATATGATCATCAGCCTTTCCCTAACTAAAGTGCTCCTGTGAACTTGTCCTCAGCTGCATTCTCCTGTCAGAGGGAGGAGTATTTTTCCTGTACTCTTGTATTTATTTAATGCCATAACTTTTTATTTCTTTTGCGTTATGTATGAATTCTCCAAACAGGATTTCTAGGTTAGGTTTCTATACACTTCTTTTCACCGCATATGAATAGATATCTAAGCAAAATATATTATTTTTCATAATCTTCATTTTGTTAGCAATAGATATACTTCTCCATTTGCTTTTGTTTCCTCAGATTTATTTCTTATAGTCACTCATTCAGTTCCTTCTTAGAGTACACTGCTTTGAGTTTATTAGGTTTTGAAGGAAAGGAATACTTTTGCTTTAAAGCATATAAGTTGGTATATTTTTGTAACAGTTTTATTGAGGTAAAATTGGCATATAATTTAGCCATTTTAAAGAGTATAATTCAGTGAGTTTAGTTTACTCAGAGTTAAATTTTAGAAGTTTCTTCATCCCAAAAAGAAGCCTCATACCCCTTCGCAGTCACTCTTCATTTGCTGTCAAACACTGCTGTTCGTCCCCCAAGGTCTTAAACAACTTCTAATCTGTTTTAGTCTCTATAGATTTCCCTATTCTGGATATTTTATATGAATGGAATCATACAGTATGTGGCCTTTTGTGACTGGCTTATTTCATTTAGCATAATGTTTTCAAGGTTCATTTATGTTGGAGCATTTATCGATACTTCATTCCTTTTTACAGATGCCATTGTGTGAATAGGCTATATTGTTGATCCATTCATTAACTGAGGTGTCTTTGGGTTGTGACCACTTTTTTACTTTAATGAGTAATGCTGCTATGAACACATTAGTGGGCAGTTTTTGGGTGGACATACATTTTTATTTTTCTTGGGGAGGGAATTTCTGAGTCATATGATAACTGTTCTTAACCTCTTGAGGAAAAATTCCAGGCTGTTTGCCAAAGCAGCTGTACTATTTTACATTCCCACCAGCAGCATATGTCACAGTCATAAAGATTTGCTCTCTTTTTAATATTTTTATTGATTTCCAATAAGAATGGAGAGGAACAGAAAGATAGCAACATCAATGATAAGAGATTCATTGATCGGCTGCCTCCTGCACGCCCTCTATTGGGGATTGAGGCTGCAACCCAGCATTTGCCCTGACCAGAATCAAATCCGGGACCATTCGATCCCCAGGTCGACGCTCTGTCCACTAAGCCAAACCAGCTAGGGCTGCTCTCATTACTTCTAAGAGTTTCACTTTCGGCTGTGATTATTTTAAGTAATTTCTTTTGGCATTGTTTTGTTAAAAGTATATTTTATTTTATTTATTTTTTGTTATTGATCCTTACCCAAGGATACTTTCTCCATTGATTTCCAGAGAGTGGAAGGGAGAGGGAGAGAGACAGTGAGAGAAACATTGATGTGAGAGAAGCACACCAATTGGTTGCCTCCCACATGCAACCCACTGGGGATCTACAACCTAGGTACAAATCACACCCGAGACCCTTCAGTCTGCAGGCTGACGCTCCAACCACTGAGCCAAACCAGTTTCGGCTTGAGTAATTTTTTTATGTTGTGTGAAGTAGGGCTCCAAATTCATTCTTTTGCATGTTGATATGATTTGTCCCAGCACCGTGTGGAAAAGACATTTCATTGAATTGTACCCTTGTTGAAAAATGAAAAACTATTGACTGCAATTGTGAAGGTTTGCTGCTGGACTCAGTTCTTCCCCATAGAGCTATGTCTATCTTTTATGCCAGTACCACACACTCTCTGTAAATCTTCATTTAATAGGAAACATTTTGTTATCAATTTGCAACTTCCTGTAAATCTTTTTTAATACTTGATCTCTAAATTCCAGATAGATATAGCATTAAAACTCTTATCTCTAGGATTTTCAGTTCTATTGCTGTTTGGGGCCTGAGTAATCAAATTCATTAATCTATCCAGATAAGATGTTATTAGCTTTACCTTTATTGAGTATTTCTTATGTATCAGACACTGCTCTAAGTGTTTATATGATAAACTTTTTATTGTCCTATCATCCCTTTGAAGTAAGTCTTACTATTACCCTATGTATACATAGGAAACTAAGGCAAAGACAAGTTAAATAATTTTCCCAGATTCTCATTGCTAGTAAAAGATAGGCCTGGCTATCTGTGTGTTTGAACTTCCATCAATGCTTTGGGCAGTAGCTAATGCATAGTAATGTACTGCATTGCTCAGCGAATGAATCAGACACACCCTCATGACATGCACGTGTCCTTGAAATATGATGGTTCACAAAAATCTGGTCTTTCATTGGTGGTGGTGGTTTTTTTCCTTTGAGAGCCAAAAGCAAAGGCACCTTTAGTAAAAGTAAATCACTTGGACTGCATTAAACTAAAAAGCTTTTCTGTATAGCAAAGGAAACCATCAATAAAATGAAAAGGCAACCTACTGAATAGAGAAAATATTTGTAAATCTGATGAGTTAATTTTCAAAATATATAAAGTACTCCCACAATTTAAAGCAAAAAGTTTTTTTAATATTTTAAATTAAAAAATGGACATGGGATCAGAATAGAAATTTTTCCAAAGAAGACATACAGATAGATGGCTAACAGATCCATGAAAAGGTGCTCACCATCAAAACCACAATAAGTTAATCGCCTCACACCTATTAGAATGGCTGTTATAAAAAAGAATAACAAGTGCTGGCCAGGATGTGTGAACAGGGACTCCTTGTGCATTGCCAACAGGAATATAAATTGATGCAGCCACCATGGAAAACAATGTGGAGGATCCTTGAAAAATTAATAATAGAACTACCTTATGATTTTGCAATTCCACTTTTGGGTATAGATTTTTTTTACTGTCTTATAATAAAGACATTACTCTTAAAGTATGAAAAAGCCTTATTCAATATATTTCATGCTTACAAATAATGTTAGTGTATTTGTGTTATGGAAAAAATTGATTTCTGGAGTTACTTAAAATATTTAAGTATAATTATTTTCTTTATTTAGTTACAGCCAAGTTCTACTTCTGAATCTGTGGATCAACTGCTAAACAAAAATAGAGAGGGAGAAAAATCAAGAGATTTGATCAAAGACAAAATTGAACCAAATGCTAAGGATTCTTTCCTTGAAAATAGCAGCAACTGCACCAGTTGCAGCAGCAAGCCGAGCAGCCCCAGCATTTCCCCCTCCATCCTCAGTAATGCGGAGCATAGGAGGGGGCCTGAGGTCACTTCCCAAGGAGTTCAGACTTCCAGTCCTGGATGCAAACAAGAGAAAGATGATAAAGAGGAGAAAAAAGATGCAGCTGAGTAAGTAGACCTGGCATTTAGCATGTCCTGTTACTTAACTTTCTCTTAAGGTGTTCGGAGCTTTCCAACTCAAGAATTTACATGGACTTTTAGACTGTTTCATACATACCGTAGCTCTCAGATTACAAACAACTTGTCCAAACAAATAATATCTTATGTAAGTAAATTAGGTCATTGTATCCTGGACTCTTCTCCGTTTTTGCATCCCTTGGCAAAACAAAACAAAAAACTCTAGGCATAAATTAAGAAAGCTTTTTTTCTGTAAGTGTGCAGGGAGTTGAAAATACTGACTTTTGGACCTTTATCCCCTGGATGCTTGTCCATATCTCCCTCTTGGCTGTGTGGCCAGGAGTAAGAACTGCCTTTGCCTGCGAGAGAGAGAAGTGTCTGACGCCCCTACTCACTTCACATTGTCCATCAGAAACAGTGTTTTAGTTACTGATTAGATTTGTTAAGGTTGACTTAATTTTGCACATCCAGTATTTGTACCATCAATTAAATGGACTTCTACAGGCTAGCCTCAGAACCTAACTAAGCACCGTTCATTGACTTATTTGTTCTGGATTCCATACAACCTAGTTACAACTGAACTTTTGGAATGTATCTTGTTGATAAATTGGGGAGTGCTTATTCTTGATTTTTTTTTTTTTAAATATATATTTTATTGATTTTTTACAGAGAGGAAGGGAGAGAGATAGAGAGCTAAAAATGTCGATGAGAGAGAAACATCGACCAGCTGCCTCTTGCACACCCCCTACCAGGGATGTGCCCGCAACCAAGGTACATGCCCTCTACTGGAATCGAACCCGGGACCTTTCAGTCCGCAGACCGACGCTCTACCACTGAGCCAAACCGGTTTTGGCTATTCTTGATTTGAGACAGAAATTTTTTATAATACTTCTTCGAGGTGTGTCATGTGGGAAACACTTTGTCACATTAGAAAATAGTGCGTGCTAAGGAATTGATATGTTAAGAATTGAATTTCAGGATGTTTTATAAGGGCTGCTGTCTTTTCAGTTAAAGTACTTATTGATCGCTTTTGAGAGAGACATTATATATTATAATTTTAAAAAGTATTTGTCCTTTTTTTGGGCAGTCTTTATCAGATTAAGGAGTGGTGTGTGTGTGTGTGTGTGTGTGTGTGTTATTTTTTATTTTTTTATTTTTAATAAATCTTTATTGTTCATATTATTACAAAAGTTCCTCATTTTTCCCCCCTTTGTTTTATTTTTAATATTTTAATTTTATTTTAACCCTCACTGAAGGATATGTTTTCACTGATTTTTAGAGAGACAGAAACATCGATGTGAGAAACATCGGTTGCCTCCTGTACACATTCTGACTAGGGATCAAACCTAGATATGGGCCCTGACCAGGAACTATAACCAACTGAGCAACCTAACCAAGGCTCTGGGTGTGTGTGTGTTTAATATATTTTTATTTCAGAGAGGCAGAGAGAGAGATGCAGCAAAACAGCAAATATGAGTGAGAATCATCGATTGGCTATCTCCTGATGCCCCACACTGGCGATTGAGCTTGCAACCCGGGCCTGTGCCCTGACTGGGAATTGAACTTCCTGGTTCAGAGGTCCACACTCAACCACTGAGACATGCTGGCCAGGCATTGTGTGTGTGTGTGTTAATGAAGTGGATTGATGATCTTCTAGTGAGAATTGTTTAAATGCAATATGTGGTTAGCAATTTTAAAAAAGCTGTCAGGTATGAGACTTCAGAGAACAAGTTCCATGCAGATTTCACTGGCCTTTACATATTTGTTCTGGTTTAGGCAAGTGAGGAAATCAACATTGAATCCCAATGCAAAGGAATTCAACCCTCGTTCTTTTTCTCAGGTAAATTTATTTCCTCTTTGAAGTAATCTGTTCTTTAGAAAATAAATTTTTTATTATAAGTAATATTTCTTTTTTCATACCTGACATCTAAATTCAGGTACAATATTCTAAAATAACTTTGGTTTAAGTTCCCTTTTCTTATGGTCATTAATGTATATGTTTGAGCCAGAGGAAAAAGACCCTTGTTTTGTCATCAGTTAGACACTGTTAGGCAAATCTTTCAGGCTTTTTGACTAGAATTTGAAGATGGTTGGCTAGCTACCCGGTTATAATGATTCTACTGACTTTATTAGGAAATAAGACTTATTTTTTATTTATTTTTAAAATATATTTTTATTGATTTCAGAGAGAGAGGGAGAAACATTGATTGGCTGCCTCCTGCATGTCCCATAGCGGGGACCAAACCCACAACCTGGGCATATGCCCTTGACCAGAATCGAACCTGGGACTCCTCAGTCCGAAGGCCGATGCTATATATCCACTGAGCCAAATCAGCTAAGGCTAGATTTATTTTTTAAACGTTGTAAAACTTTTTTTAGTTTCTTAAAAGTTACTTCAACTATTTTTTAATAGTATTATTGAATAATTTGTGACCTGGTGCACAAAATTTGTGCACATTAAAAGGGGATTAATTAGAGGTAATAATTTAATATTGCTATTTGCCCTTTCTCTATAATAGAAGTGTCAGAGATGAAAGAAAATTAGTAAAATGTATATGAAACCATTCCTCCTGTCAGAGTCTGGGCATACCATGAGACCCAGAGTCAAGTCCCCGTCCACCCACATGCACCTCAAAATCGCATGAGACCCAAACCCAGCCTCCCCCCCCTCGATTGGGCTAGGTCCAGACCCGGCCAGTCCCACCCTTGTCAAGCCCTGCGTAACCTCAGGTCCCCTGGCCCTGCGCCAGGATGGGGGACATGGCCTGAGATCCCCTGTCAAGCCCCACTGGGAGGGGGCAGGGCCTCGGGTCCTCCATCAAGCCCCGTTGGGTGGGGGGCAGGGCCCGAGGTCACCTGTCAAGCCCAGCCAGGCAGGGGGGTGCAGGCTCGGGTCCCCTGGCTGGTGCCTAAAGTCCCCTGTCAAGCCCACCTGGTGAGGTGCGTGGCCTGAGGTCTCCTAGCCCAGCACCAGGATGGGAAGTGCACCTTGAGGTCCCCTGTCTAGTCCCGCTGGGTGGGAGTGCGGTCTGAGGTCCCCTATCAAAGGGGGGGGGAGGGGGGCGGGGGCTGGTTAGCTTCAGGTCTCTGCTGATTGCTCGTTAAGGCTCCTTATGGGAATTGGCCTCAGCTGTGGGTACAGCCATCTTTGTGACAGAGCGATGGTCAATTAGCATATCCTTCTTTATTAAATAGGATTGGTGAAGTTTTACTTTAACTTACCAAAGTATTTTTCTTTTATTTAAAGTATGTGAGTTTTATTTTCTATAAGTTTTTTTCCCCATTAAAAGGGACTAATTAAAAATGAGTAAAACTTAGATGAAGAAAATCAGTTTCCAGATTGCAATAATAATCAGCTTTTCATCTTAAGAGAATCAGTTTTTGCTTTTTGTTTTTTGTAGCCAAAGCCTTCTACCACCCCAACTTCGCCTCGTCCTCAAGCACAACCTAGCCCATCCATGGTGGGCCATCAGCAGCCAACTCCGGTGTATACTCAGCCTGTGTGTTTTGCACCAAATATGATGTATCCAGTCCCAGTGAGCCCAGGCGTGCAAGTAAGTCAGAGAACTTGCTGTTCCTTTGTCTCCTTGGCTTTGGTAGTTGACAGCAAGCTCTGGAGGCGTGTGGTGACTTGAGGCAGTGGTTGCATAACAGAAGTATTGGGAAAGGGGGACGCAGCCGGATCATGTGTTGTTAGTGTGAGGAGCTAAGTCTGAGGATGTATCTAGTGAGGAAGATGATTTAGATTTACTGTAGTTTGGGGCTTGTGGTGTAATTTTTTTTTTTTTAATGATTCATAGAGAATCAGGAAACCTCAGATCTAGCTCTCTAGCAATATACTATTGAGAGAATGGGAAAATGTATTCTTCTTGAGAGCCTAATTTTCCTTTTTTTTTTTTTTTTAATCCCTCAGCCTTTATACCCTATACCTATGACACCCATGCCAGTGAATCAAGCCAAGACATATAGAGCAGGTAAAGGTGAGAATAATCCTGCCTGTGTTTGCTTGTAGTCTGCATGATGCATGTATAAGTAACTCAGTTTATAATGAAGAAATACTTGTGGTTCAACTTTGACTTTTGATGACCAGCGTTACATAAGGTATTCAGCTGCAGGGCCCGAGGTCATCTGTCAAGCCCAGCCAGGTGAAATATTCATCAGTTGTGATTATTCAGGTTCTTTAAAAAAAAAAAAATAAATAATAATAGTAACTGCCGAAACCGGTTTGACTCAGTGGATAGAGCATTGGCCTGCAGACTGAAGGGTCCCAGGTTTGATTCCAGTCAGGGGCATGTGCCTTGGTTGTGGGCACGTCCCCAGTGGGGGGGTGTACAGGATGCAGCTGGTCGATGATTCTCTCTCATCGATGTTTCTAGCTCTCAATCCCTCTCTCTTCCTCTCTGTAAAAAATCAATAAAATATATTTAAAATAAAAAAAATAGCCGAGACCGATTTGGCTCAGTGGATAGACTCGTAGGGGTGTCGAACTCAATCAGAGAAGGGGCCAAAATCTAAAATCCAGCCTAAATCGCGGGCCGAATGGTTTACTGAACAGTCATAAACTGTCATTGTGATGGAAGCGCAACGGAGTGCAGTGATGACAGCGCGGTTCGGGCCACATTGCAAGGCCTGGCGGGACGGATTTGGCCCGAGGGCCTTGTGTTTGACACATGTGGGATAGAGCGTTGGCTTGGGGACTGAAGGGTCCCGGGTTCGATTCTGGTCAAGGGCATGTGCCTTGGTTGTGGGCACGTCCCCAGTGGGGGGTGTGCAAGAGGCAGCTGATCGATGACTCTCTCTCATTGACTAACTCTCTCCCTTCCTCTCTGTACAAAATCAATAAAATATATTTTAAAAAATAACAAATAAAAAAATAACTGACTTTCAAAGTTTTCAATGTTAAATTTAAAAAGTGTGTTTGCTAAATTAATTTACCAAGGTTCCAGGCATTTTTATATTATATTAACATATAATTTCCCCCCCAAATCCAGAATTTATTTTAAAGCACAGGGCAGCTCATTTTAGAAACCACCAAAATCCCACTAGAAAGGTGTTTTCTCATTTTAAAAATGAGTGTTTGCCTTGTAGACAGAGGCACAGGGGGTGGAAGAGGGTAAAGGGATAAATGGAGATGGATGGAGACTTGACTTGGGGTGGTGAACACAGAGTACAGTATACAGATGATGTATTATAGGATTTTACCCCCCCCAAATCGATATAACTTTATTAGCCAATGTCACCCCAACAAATTAAATAAAAAATTTAAAGTGTTTTATAATATAGTATTATATTCTTGTGTAGTTAAGAGCCTTCATAGAAGAAAACATTTACCATTAATATTGAAAATTACCTCTTTTTTTGAGGAGGTAATTGAGGGTAATTAATAGCTATAATTTTGTTGAGAAACAGTAGGAAATGGAGTGATTTGTAGAAAAGAGATATATGTATCTCAGGCACTGCAGAGAGCTTCAACAGTAAACCCTGCTGTCCTAAGAAAATAGGGAATGACTAGATACCGGCTTTGTCTATCATTCAGATTCTGCTTTTAAGATTTTGTGCCCTGGCTGGTCTGGCTCAGTGGATAGACTGTGGCCTGTGAACTGAAAGGTCCCGGGTTCGATTCTGGTCAAGGACACATGCCCGGGCTGTTTCACAGTGGGGGGCTTGTAGGAGGCAGCTGCTCCATGATTCTTTCTATTTATGGATGTTTCTCTCTTTCCCTCTTCCTTCCTCTCTGGAATCAATAATATATATAAAGAAAAATTTTGTTATAGTTACGTAACCTGTGCTTTTTTCTTTGCATATTTAGCACAATGCCCAGACATCATGCCATTTCATTCATACTGGTGTCTGGCTACTTAAAGTATGCAAGTTTTTTTTTATATATAGTCAACTAATTAAAGGGTCAGGCAGTGATTCTCTCCTCCCCAGTTGTAAAGTTTTATATTAATTTTTCATCTAATCCATTGATGATTGACACTTAACATCATTTTTTTTAAATTGGGGGTGTGGATCTTAAATTTTCGTGTGCATCAGAATCACTGGAATATTTGTTGAAAACACAAATTATTTGGCCCTACCCTCAGAGTTTCCAGTTTAGTCGGTTTGGGGCATAGCCTGAGAACTTACATTTCTCGTGCAATTTATGAACAATTTTTCAGGTGAGGCTGCTGATCTGGGACTGCTATACTCTGGAAAACCACTCTAATTAGGAGTTTGAAAATAGTGTATTCTTATATTTCTTTTCCATTTATTAGCTAGAATCATTTTGTGAGGAACTCTTCAACAAGGGCCATTTGATTATCCTGAAGAATTTGTACAGAAAAGTTAGGGTAAATGCTTACAATTAAGTGCTTAAAATGGGTCCAAGTGCCAGTTTTCAGTGGTGATTATCCTTTCTGCTCCCATTGATTTTCCTTTGGCAAATGACAATCCATTCACATTGGCTCCCGGGTCCTTTTAGTGCTCATCTTAAAGAGTGTGTGTGTGTGTGTGTGTGTGTGTGTGTGTAAAAATTAATTTCAGAAAGGGAGGGAGAGGGAGATAGAAACAGCAATCATGAGAGAGACTCATTGATCAGCTGTCTCCTGCACACCCCTTACTAGGGATCAAGCCAGAAACCAAGGCATGTGCTTCTTGACTGGAATTGAACCCAGCATCCTTCAGTCCACAGGGTGACGCTCTCTCCAGTGAGCAAAGCAGCGAGAGCTAGTAGTGCTCCTCTTCTTTACAAATAAAGTATCTGAGGCTAATTTTCAAACTCAAACCCTAATCATTCCTGCAAGGAACCCTGATTCATTTTCCTGGGAAATAGTCTGTAAAAACCATTTCCTGGTCATTGGATACACTTAATGCTATTGGGTTATTGCTTCTGAGCCTTTTCAGGGGACTAACCTGGGAAATAACCACTTTTTTTTTCTTTTAAAAAATTCAGAAACCCATATTGATATACCTAATTCAAGTTAACTTTACAAGGTTTTTACTCTCTTTGCTTGCATCTTATTCTCTTACACCAAAAACTGGCAAAAATAGTAACTCTTTTATCTATCTTTCAACAAATGACTGCAAAGCTTAGCTATCTAAAACAACAAACATATTATTTCATAGTTTCTGAGGGTCAGTAATCCAGGAGTGGCATAGCCAGGTGGTTCTGCTTCTCAGTCTCTTGGGAAGCTTCAGACAAGATGTCTGAATGTTTAATTTTTAATTTAAAAAAGGATGGTAAACTTGACTAGCTTTTTAAATTTGTTTTAATATATAAGGGTCATAATAAGTATCAAAAGTAATAGTGATAGTGAATAGGTTAAACTCAGTAAGCTTAATTAGACAAACTTTCACTTGATAAAAATGATACTCGAGCCCTAGCCAGTTTGGCTCAGTGGATAGAGCATTGGCCTGCAGACTGAAGGGTCCCAGGTTCGATTCTGGCCAAGGACACATGCCCGGGTTGTGGGCTTGGTCCCCAGTAGGGAGTGTGCAGGAGGCAGCCAATCAATGATTCTCTTTTATCATTGATGTTTCTCTCTCTCTTCCCCTTCCTCTCTGAAATCAATAAAGAACTACATTTAAAAAAAGATACTTGAGCCGAAACCAGTTTGGCTCAATGGATAGAGCGTCGGCTTGTGGACTGAAAGGTCCCGGGTTCGATTCCGGTCAAGGGCATGTACCTTGGTTGCGGGCATATCCCCAGTAGGGGGTGTGCAAGAGGCAGCTGATCAATGACTCTCTCTCATCGATGTTTCTAACTCTCTATCTCTCTCCCTTCCTCTCTGTACAAAATAAAATATATTTTTTTTAAAAAAGATACTTGATTTTTAGATGGTTTTTCTATACTAAAAGATGCTTTTTTTGAGTACTGGCGGGTGGCTTAGTTGTTTGGAATGTCATCCTATACACCAAAAGGTTGTGGGTTTGATTCCCAGTCAGGCCCATATCTAGATTGTGGGGCAAACACAGGCGGCAGCCTGTCAATGTTTCTCCCTTCCTTTCTCTCTGAAATCAATAAATACATACTCTGAGGAGGATTTTTTTTTTAAAGGATGCTTTTTTGATATGGGACATCTCAGGATTAAATTCAGAAAAATATTGCTGTATTGGTTTTCAAGTTTGCTTTTCTAAGTGGATAAACTGGTTCTAAATTTTAGCAACAGTCATATTTTTAGCAAAAAATTCAAATATTTAAATTAAAAACCAAATTTTATCTCTAAACTAGCAGCTATTTACATAAATAGTTACATTTACATAAAGTTCTGATGAATTTATGAACATACTAAGCTATATTTTTGTTCCTCATACCTATTGTAAGCAGTGGTTCATGATTTCTTCCCTCAAATGGCTTAACATCACAGCATAAACCCGTCATAGAGACAGTCAGTGCTGCCGTAGAACGCAGCTGATGGCATTTGAGCAGAATTCTTAACTGAAAGGCCATAGGCAGATATCTGTCTATGGAATAGTAAAAAGACATAAGTTAATTTTTTAAAAGAGCTATTATTTGGGAACTTGCTACAAGATAGTGTGTGATTCTGGATTTGGGAAAAAGCAGGAAATAGTTGGAGAATTCAGTGGTGGGAAATGAAGGAAGCTGGAGTTGGTCTATTTTGTTTTTTTGGTGTATGTCTGTGAGGGTTTTTGTTTTTATTTTATTAAATCCGTTGCCCTTCTCTAGCAAGTGGCATAATGTGGTGTTATAAAACAGGTTATGAAGGAAATGCTTTATAGTGTGATCCAGTTTGGAGGCTCCTCCTAGGAAGTCTCTCTAAGGAAGCTGCTTTCCAGCTGACACCTGGGAGACAAGTCAGAATGACCACAGCTGGGGGCGGGGGGCGGGGGGCGGGGGGTGTTGGAGGTTGAGGAATAGCACGTCTGATGGGCAGACAAGCAGAGCGGTTGACGTGGGTGTGGGGTGATGAAATGGCATTGGAGAGGCAAACTGGAGGGTGGATCCTGCAGAGCCTGTGGCCCACGATGCTGTTTCTTACACTGGCATCTTCCGCAGTACCAAACCTGCCCCAGCAACGGCAGGACCAGCACCATCAGAGCACCATGATGCACCCCGCCTCCGCGGCAGGCCCGCCCATCGTGGCCACCCCCCCAGCGTATTCCGCACAGTACGTCGCCTACAGTCCTCAGCAGTTTCCAAATCAGCCTCTTGTTCAGCACGTGCCCCATTATCAGTCTCAGGTAAGGCCGATGGCACTCATAATTTTTGTTTCATTTAAATAATTTCTAATTTTAACGTTTAATATGGTAGAGGGGCTTGGGTTTCTCTCTATATCTGGTGCTTTTTGTTATGCTGTGGTTGATAGCTAAGGATGGGGGTGCTTTTTATATTAGATAATTATATATATTAGAAGGTAGTTGGTCATTTAAAATATTTCAAATGAAATAGCCAAGAAGTTTTAGTTTTTCAGAGTTGTTTTTAGAAACCTGGGCACCGTGGGTTAAGACATCCCACTGAAGTCTGCTTGAGTGAGTCTTTTTGGCATTTGAATGTTTGCTCTTTATTTTGTCTTTGAACATAGCATCCTCATGTCTACAGTCCTGTAATACAGGGCAGTGCCAGGATGATGGCGCCAGCAGCACACGCCCAGCCCGGCCTCGTGTCATCCTCGCCTGCTCAGTACGGGGCTCACGAGCAGACACATGCGATGTATGGTAGGAAGCACTTTGTTTGTCTTTCTCAGTGTGTGACTATTCTTAATGTGCTTTAAAGCTTTGAAAAGTTACTCTGTTTAAGAATAACTTGGCCTAAAGACATTGAGGGTAAAGAATCTAAAGAAAAAATGGACACATTTTTATCTCTTACCTGCTGTAAGCCTTGGCTGATTATTTCTGCTTTTGCTCCTGAAATTCCTCTGTCTTTTCTTTTAACTAAATGTAATGATGTATGTAACAGAAGCATCTTTTGTGGAGAAAGGTGTCTGTCTTCTCTTCCTCGACAGCATTATCATCTGATGTGCCTGCACGAGGCACGCGAGGAAGCTTCACCAAAACGAAAGCCCTGGCCAGCACTGCACCTCTTGCTCCGGGGTCACTGGCTTTTCGTACTTTTATTGCTTCTTGTTATAATGCTACTAGGGGCCCAGTACACACAATTTGTGCACTTGGGAGGTTTCCCTCAGTCCAGCCTGACTGCACCCTCTCCTGGTGGTCAGTGCGCATCATGGTGACTGCTCCCTCCGCTGTTCGGTCAATTTGCGTATTAGTCTTATTATATAGGATTGTGTTTCTGCATCATGCTGTATTTTAAGTGGTCGAAATTGTATAATATTAGGTCTGCTTTAGACATTTACACTTCAAGTATAATCAGTTTTAAAAATGGTAAAATGAAATTAAATATATGTAAGAATAATTAATAAGCAAAATTACTATCTTAGTTTTATAGCTAGAGGTTAATTTAGCAGCTGTCTAAAGTTCTAAAATAATATTGTTTTCAATGTTGAGATTTAAAACAGATTTCCACTTTATATCTTGTGTAACATAAAATTAATGGGTTTTCCTGTATGTATGTTTTTAAAATGCACTTTAAGTACCAGCCTTATTAAGAAGTAGGTTTTGTTTTTTGCACTTTTCTGCTGTTTTGGCATTTTAGTTTTTTGGAGTGTGAGGAGAGAGATGTAAGTTTCTGCATACAATTTAAAAGAATGAAATTACAATTGTATGTAACTACATGGACATTTCACTTTTTAAACCTCTTTCAACTTTTTGAATGACTAGGAATGTAAAGGTTTTCGTTTGTTTAACTTTAGATAACAGTTGGTCACATTTCGAGAACAGGGACGGGACCGGGGCAGCAGAGCCTCTGTCCCGGAGGCGCTCCTGCTGCCCAGTTCAGACTTCACGTGGTTAAAGGCACTAAGTTACCAAGTGCAGAGTCTGATTTTACTTTACTACATTATTACTTAACGCTTTCTATTGAGGATTATGTGCTTTAAGTACAAGTGATGTAATTGCTACATTTCCTTCAAGAAGCCCATCCATAATTTAATTGAGAAATAAACTGACAGACCCATTTGACTTATGATTTTGATTATGATCTCCTTTCATTGGCTTGTCTTCTGTTGTCTTGTCCAGGACTGAGTATGTATGGAAAGGCCCCATTGATTCCCACACTGGCTTTTATGCAATTTGTATATATTTCAACTTTTCCAGTTTGTTAAAAGCTTAGGTGAAAAGTTCTTTATGGTTATTTTATGTTTCTGCTGAATACATCAGGATTTAACAAGAGGAAAAAACATTTCTTTCCTTCCATTTTCTCACATCCTCCTCTTGGAATAAGATCTGAAACTTTTGAGCTAAAATTTCCATTGCTTTTAGATAATAGCTATTTGTGCACCCCTGATTTTGAGACTTCGTAGCAATACTGTGATGTTGTGCAGGATCTTTCTCCTCAACGCCAGCATCTGGCTTTGACTTTTGGATGGATATTCATTGGATTGAAAGAATCTCATTGGCTTAAAACAGCCCGTACAATAAATACTGTTATTTGAGGCATCAGTGGTCTTTATGCCTCCCCAGAACATTTTCATTTGAAAAGCACTTGGCCTTGGACCCTGAAGTCCATTCAAGTTGGGTAAATAGGAAGTATTGCAAACAAAACAAATTACTAGACTTAATGTGCTGGTCATTAGAGCCCACTCTTTGGTGCTGGGAGAAAGTTGTTCATCCAGATCTGAAATGCTCTCCTGCATTTTACCCAGGTTGTATTTCTTGATATCTGTTGATGATGGCTGGCTAGGGGCAAAGCTGTGAACTTGGTATGATTGGTTAATGGAGGTTCTCTTAGATACTTCATACTTTAAAATGAACACTAGGGAATTATTTTGTTCTTTGCTGTCATAAACCATAATTTTAATCTGTTAAAACAAGTTTAGTATTCAGTCATTTAGATATTCTAAATCCTAATTATGCCACATACAGACAAATTTTAAGTGTTATTTTAAACTAAGACAAAACTCTTACATGGAAATGTAATTGTGTACTCATCTCCTTTGAATAGTTTATATATTGTATTCTCAAAGGAATCAAATATTTTGAGTATGTATTGGGTTTGTTTTTAAGCAACATCCTATCTAGATTTTTAAAACTTTATGTAAACAAAAGAATATGCATCCAGATGTTAGTGACAATTATGTCACCTTTTGTTATTCATCAACTGGTCGTAGGCAAAGGCTTAGAGAATAGAAAGGACCACTAATGACTAATAATGAGAGACTGGTTGTTGTTTTTAAATTTTTGGTATATTTAATATAAATATACTAACAAATTACTAAATAGTTAAATTATTAGGATATATGTATATGTATACGTGTGTGTGATATATATATATATTCTAAGTAATTGTTGACCTTGTTCTCTTTGTAGCTGTGTTAAAAAGGACTTTAATCACAAACTTCATCTCTTTGATCTTAATCTAACTTTTATCCTTGCCTCTGCCCCCTCCCTCCTAAGTTACTTTTTGTTCCTTAACATTTAGTTTTCTAATTCGTCTCCTTTGTTTTATGGCAGTGTTCTATTTACCTTTCAGAAATAGTTCTGTGACTTTCTCTACAGGAAGAGTTAGATCCAGAATCCCTTTTTTGGTTTTTGGTAATTTAATGCAGATATATTGGAAAATATAGTAGGCAAAAGGTTTAAAATGCATCTTTTGTCCCTCCACCTGACAACACCTGTTAACATTTTGGTGCATATCTTTTCAGCCGTGTTTAAACACACACAAACACACACTTTTATGGAGTCATTGTAACAAGCAAGATATTCATGTTTAATACTACTATTGTTTCTAAAATTTGGATCCAGTATCAGATACCTAATAAACATCTTACTTCTGTTAATAGTGACTTGCAGAATTGTTTGTCTTTTGAATTAAACTTGTGTAATTTTTATTTTGGTACATTTTTTATATCAAGGTTCAGTGGAATGCCATGTTGGTCTGTTTATTAGATAATAATGTTATTCCTTTTATTTAAGCAAGTCAGCCTGCAGAACTTGACAGTACAGAAGAAAAGTGTCTTTTTCTCCAGCCCTCTCTTATTTAATTTTGTAGCAATGTTTAAAGTGCTTGTCATCTCTTGTAAAATAAGAATGAATTATGCATGAATAAAAGAAAAAATTACTAAATATGTCAACCTTTCCAGAAAATTAGGAAAATGTAGACCTCAAAAGCCTAATTTACCTTTCTATTTCCCAAATTCAGCATGTCCCAAATTACCATACAACAAGGAGACAAGCCCTTCTTTCTACTTTGCCAGTGAGTTGGGTTTTTTATACTAATTTTAATTGAACAGTAAAACACTTTTTAAAGAATACATGTTAAGGGACTAGACTTGTTGAACAATATTTTCCTTGTGCCAGACAAAATTATTAAAGATATGTGTATCTGTAAATAATTCAGAGTTTTAAAAAAGAAATATAACCCAGCTCAAGAAAGCTGGGTTAAAAAATTGAGTTGTTTCAGAAATTAATTTTTGCATACCAAGCAAACATGTGACTGTTTTGGAAATGCCTAATATTTTCCTTGTGTGAAAAACCTTTCCTGAATCACTTTTTTTTAACCAAGCCACAAACTTAGTATTAATAACAAGAACAACAACAACGCTAGTTTTTCTAATATTCTGATAAGAAACTTACTCTTACAAGGGTTTTGAGTTGAATAGGATGGAAAAACTAGGGGGAAACCTTTCTGTCTCTTTAATCTTGGCATGCCTGAAGGGTGCAGTATTTGTAGCACACAGACACCTCGGATGTCTTGAGCTTAAGCAGGAAAGCATGACCTAGCAGAGATTATCTTTGGCAACACCAGCTCCTCTCACCTCCAGTGAAAAAGGTAAAGGATTGCTCCTAAAGGGAGAAAGTCTGAACAGAGCTTTCTTTTGGAAATGAACATGAAAGGTGTGTTTTCTCTATTTGTAGGGCAATTTTTCAAATAAAGCTGGTCATGGACTTTTGGTTTTGAATAGAATGGTACTAACTTGTAGAAATTCTTTAAAATTTTATGCCAATAATGTGTCACTTTATGTGAAATGTATATTCTAGGAAACATTAAAATTTTACTTTAGGGACTAAATTTTGAATTATTTTCGAATGACTCAATGTCTGAATCTACTAAATGCCAGATTTTAAAAATAACTTAGAAAACATTTGACTTAAATTTTCATTAATTGTGCCATGACTTGGTATCCAAAAATAAGTGTATAAATATTATTTATGTGGTGCTAGGAAATGTTAACAAATTTAATCCTTTAATAGATGCTCTTTAAAAAGGAGTCTTGCTGTATATGTGTGTGTGTGTGTATATATATATATATATATATATATATATATATATATATACACTATTAAAGGGAAACTGTATGTAATATAGTTATGTAAAAGACAGTGTCAGTAATTTTATTATGTACTCAGTTTGAGGTCTCAAATGTAGTTATCCTCACCATCTTACTGTCTCTGTTAGTTTTGGAGTCCATTTCCTGGTAAGTAGCTAAGAGGTCCTTAATCATCACACCTAAGCATTAACTGCCTCAGCACAGCTTCTCTTAAAAAGGAGTGTCAGTACTTTTTAAAAGAAACTAACAGTGAGGCTGCTATTTGTAATTTAATTTGCTGCCATTTTGTCATGGTTTTGGTCTAGTTGACTTTTACTCCCCTTTTAAAGAGTTTTCAACTTTCCTTCACTTCCTTTTTTTCTAAATTTAACATCAATTTTAAAAGTTGGAAGATTTTGTTTTGCTTTGTTTTGTTTTTAAAGTTTTGCAGTGCTGGGTGATCTCTCATGACTTGTGCATCCAAGGTCAAAATGAAAACACCTACTTGCAAATTAAACACACAGCTTTCTGGACTGAATTGGCTTTAGTAAGATCATGGCTTAGGAAACTATTTTTGGAATGTGGTTAGTGCTAGGAGGATTTGAAAAATCATGTCTTTATAATTTTGAACATTTATATCGAGGAACACAACAAGTAAGAAACTTTTGGACCAGATGAAAATGAACTTTTTTGTTAACCATCTGAAATCTTAAAATTAATGAGTATGCATAATAAAAGCAGTTAAATTATACACTTAGTAACCCTCAGAATTTACTGTCCTTTGCTCTCCACTTCTTTTTCTCAGAGTCTGTTGTATTTTTTTCTTGTTTACTCTATATTGGTTCCCTTTCTCTTGTCTCTTTTCTTTCCAATATTTCCCCCCACAGCCTTTTTTTTTTTTTAATCCTCACCTGGGGGTATGTTTATGTATAATTTTTTTATTGATTTGAGAGAAAGAAACATTGATCAGTTGTCGCCAGTACATGCCCTGACCGGGGATCGAAACCAAAACCAGGGCATACGGCCTGATCTGGGATCCAGGCCACAGCATTTTTGTGGAAGAGATGATGCTCCAACCAATTGAGCCACAAGTCCGGGCCCTCAGGATTTTAATTTCCTTTGTCTACCTTTTTTTGGTCTCATTCTTTTGGCCTTTCAAGGAACCAAACTACAGGTTGTCCCCCAAAAAATGTACTACACACACATTAATAGCTGATAGCTCAGTTTTGGAAATGAAATATATTTTAATAAGCACTGCTTTATAGTTATTCAAAGTGAATCCTTTTTTGGGGGGGGGGCTTACTATATTTTTGTTGTTAATTATATTGAATTAATTAGCTAGCCACTCAGTTTTTGTATTTGAGGAAGAAAAGGAGTTCATGGATAAGGTACTTGTTTTATATCTTTTAAGCAAGAAGGTGACCAAAGGAAAATATTTTTCTTTCTTTCTTTTTTTAAATATTTTTTTATTAAATTATTATTTTTGTACATATGCCAGTGGCCCCCCCCTCCCGTACATACCTTCCCTCACCAGAGTTTTGTGTCCATTGGTTGTACTTCTATGCATGTATACAAGTCCTTCGGTTGATCTTTTATCTCCCGCAGATCTCCCCAACCTCCCCGCTGTAATTTGACAGTCTGCTTGTTGCTTTACTGTCTCTTTATCTTTCTTTTGGTTCTTCAGTTTATAATGTTCTTTATTATCCATAAATGAGTGAGTTCATGTGGTGTTTCTCTTTCATTGACTGGCTTATTTCACTCAGCATGATGTTCTCCAATTCCATCCAGGTTGCTGCAAATGATGAGAATTTCTTCTTTTTTTATGGCAGTGTAGTATTCCATTGTGTAGATGTACCATAGTTTTTGGATCCAATCATCTGCTGACGGGCACCTAGGCTGTTTCCAAATTCTAGCTATTGAAGATTGTGCTGCTATGAACATAGGGGTGCATATATCCTTTCTGATTGGTGTTTCTAGTTTCTTGGGATATATTCCTAGGAGTGGGATTACTGGGTCAAATGGGAGTTCCATTTTCAGTTTTTTGAGGAAACTCCACACTGTTCTCCACAGTGGTTGCACCAGTCTGCATTCCCACCAGCAGAGCACGAGGGTTCCTTTTTCTCCGCAACCTCATTGTCGTTTGTTGATTTGTTGATGTTGGCCGTTCTGACAGGTGTGAGATGGGACCGCATTGTTGTTTTCTCTCTCTTTCTTTCTCTCTTTTTCTCTCTCTTTCTTTCTTTCTTTTTTTTTTTTTTTTTTTTTTTTTAATATATTTTATTGATTTTTCACAGAGAGGAAGGGAGAAGGATAGAGAGCTAGAAACATCGATGAGAGATACATCAACCAGCTGCCTCCTCCACACCCCCCACTGGGGATGTGCCCGCAACTAAGATACATGCCCTTGACCGGAATCGAACCTAGGACCTTTCAGTCCGCAGACCGACGCTCTATCCACTGAGCCAAACCGGTTTCGGCAGGAAAATGTTTCTAATTAAACGTTCTTAAATTTTATTTGCAGCTTCTGAACTATAGATTACATCTACTTGATTTTTCTTGTATACATTGCAACTTACCAGTGTTTAGAGTAGGAAAAGGATGGGATTTTTATTATTATTTTTTTAATTGATTTCAGAGAGGAACAGAGAGAGAGATAGAAACACCAAGGATGAGAGAGAATCATTGATCGGCTGCCTCCTTCACGTTCCACCCAGGATTGAGCCCCTGCCCCGGGCATGTGCCCTGACCAGGAATATGAACTGTGACTTTCTGATTCATAGGTTGATGCTCAACCACTGAGCAACACTGGCCAGGTAGGATGGGTTTTTTTTAAACAAAAATCTCTGGATGCACTCAGATTAGTTGAAGTATAGTAGTATGAAAGCAAATGAGATATAGACTTAATTACTTTTATAGGATTTAAATAATTGGTAAACTATCACAGAGATGCCCTTTAAAAATGTATAGTAAAAAATATTTTATCTTTAATTTTCTTTAAATAATTTCAAGATTTTTAACTTTTTTTCTAATTGATGAATAATTATTAGACTTTATGGCCCATTCTCTTTGTGATGGTCATGCTAGAGTTTTTATTGTTGCTTTTTATTTTTTTAATACTTTGGTTATATGATAATTAAAAGTAAAGTTTAAAACTCTTTAGTACAAAAATTTATTGAACGACTAAAGTTTATAAAAATAGGAACTCTGGGATTCTGTCCTCTGAGTCCTCATAAACAGAATTTAGGATTAAGAGAAAACATTGGAGAAGCTTGGCAGAGGGAGCATGAGTGACAGGCGTCGCTGTCCATTGGCCGTCCTGTGATGGACAGTGCTGTCTAACCAGCCGCTTGCTGCATGTGGCTCTTTAGTAATTTAAAAATAAATTTGAGAGGCAGGTTGGAGGGTGCGGAGAAAAAGGGACAACTGTAATACTTTTCAACAGTAAAGATAAAAATAAAATGACTACATTTGAAAAATAAAATTTTTACAAGAACGACGATTGGAAATTTATGTCGAATCTTTTAGTCCAAGTCAGTGCCTAGATAATTTGAGGGGATCTGACAGCTTACTGAGCGGGCTGGTAAATGAAGAAAGGCCCTGTGATAAGCCTGTAAACTGGAAGAAAGACCACTTTCACAGACTTTTCCGACTATATAAGCAGCACATTATTTTTCCTAGATCCCAGAAAACAGCCACTGTCTCTCTGTAAAGAAAACACTCAGAGAAATGTGATATTCTTTATCAACTATACTTAAATTTTAAAAAATGAAAACCTGTTAAAAAGAGGAACAAAATACACCCAGAGAATGTTACCACAGTTTTCCTTGTTAATATGTTGTGTGTAACTCTTCTAAGTTAGGGAAATTTCCCAATCTACGAACCAGAGAGTTTTCTTCGTTGAATCTACTCCGGGCACACACACGCACGCGCGCACACACGCACCCACACACCCACACCCCCTCCATGGTGTTGGCAGTGGATGCACAGGTGGTCCTAGCGCTGGCTCTTTGCCTGGCCCTTCCCTCTTTGAAAAGACTCACACGCAGTTGGAGAGAGAACAGTTGGACAGGAGTGTTGGTGGCCTTGGCCCTATACGATCAAGCATTCCAGACTTGCTTTGTGTGAATCCTCTGCATTACAGGAACATGGGACTCACCCGGCGGTGTTTATTCTGGCGGCCTCCCGCCTTGCCTGGTAGACTGCCGCAGTTGGGGTGCCTGGTCCCAAAGCAGTGCTTGCGTTATCCCCCGCATGCCTGGTGGTTTGGGCTTGGCTTCTAGGGATCTTAGGAGGAGTTTGAGAAGCTGAGAGCCGCAGGTTGCTGGAATGCTGTCCTCTGTTATTGACACGTCATGGTTTGTGTGTGTCAGTTTGCTGCCGATAGTCATAAAACAATGAACCCATCTTCCTGTGCTTTTGATTCTCAAATTGCTCTTTTAGAAAGATGTGAATAAATGCATCTATACCTAATCTCCCTGTTTTATACCAAGGTATGGTTCATGCTGAGCCTCACAAGGAATTGGCTTTGAGTTCTTATCTTTAATGAAAATGTTTCTACTGAAATTGGCTCATCATGTTTCCTCTGACGTCACTCTCACTAGTGACATTCTTTCGAAAGGCCGGGGTGCTTTGAAGAGACTCCATTTCCTACATAGTTTAGGTAGTTCTGCACTAGATCGCTACAAGGCAAGGCAAGAGACTGCTGAACAGGGAGGGCCCAGGTGGCTTCTGTGAACAGCTGAGAAAATGTGTGGGCATTGGCCCTACAGATGGAGCCTTGTCTTTGCTGCATTCCCTATCCAGCCCCATTCCCGTCTGTGCCCATGGACACTGCGCCAGCTCCAGGGCAGTAGCATGGTGAGGTTAGCCAGATGATGGCCTTGAGCTAGTGTGTGTGTGTGTGAGAGAGAGAGAGAGAGAGAGAGAGAGAGAGGGAGGGAGGGAAGGAGGGAGGGAGGGAGGGAGGTGGGGGGAGATATTGTTTGAATTGTTTCTGCCTTTGTTAAGTTACCTTTTTAGGAAAACCTAGTAATTGTTTTAAGAATAAATTTACACTATATAATGTGTACAGCTGTGTTATGAATAAAATGGTAATCTAATTTTTAAGCAATAACTTCACACTTAATTTTTCATGAAAATTGATGGTTTAAATGAAGTCGTACGTAGAGATTGTTAACAGCGTAAGGTAGGCCTTGAGCATTTGGAATGCGGCATAAGGAGCATTTGGGATCTTCACCGTGTCGATGTACACACTCCTTTTTTTTCCACTTCAGTTTCCACTGGCTCCCTTGCTCAGCAGTATGCGCACCCCAATGCTACCCTGCACCCACATACTCCACATCCTCAGCCTTCAGCCACCCCCACTGGACAGCAGCAAAGCCAGCATGGTGGAAGTCACCCTGCACCCAGTCCCGTCCAGGTGAGGAGAGGCCTCCACGGCGTCACTTCCTCTTCTGTGCTCAGTGTTTGCTCCCGTGCCAGGCCGGGCCAGTGATCAGAGCACCCAGCCGCCCAGTGCTGCCTCCTGCACCCCATGCACTCTGCAGACTGCCCTTGGGCCTGGTTTTGTCACATTAAAAGACACAATAAGAATAAAGATTAATATTTAAAAATCTAAGGAATTTGCTTGGGACTTCTTTTAGTTCCCAATATTTATATGATGAGTTTTTCCTGCTGCTTTAATCACGTTGGTCAACAGGTGGTTGGGTATTTCTGACCTCTGTCCATTGCCAGGCAGTGGTCTTGCTCTGCCACTCTGAGACGGTCTTCTCCCCCAGAAAAGAAGTCTCTGATGGTCCCCCCCTCTCTCAGCTCCCTGTGTATTCTCCTGTGCTTGCCATGCCCGCACCCTACCTGCACCCAGGTGGAGCCCATTTTCATGCAAAAGGCTCAGCTTTTAACTGCTTTTCGTGGCAAAGGTGGTTTGCTTAATTCTTTCTGTCACTTTGCAGCACCATCAGCACCAGGCCACCCAGGCTCTCCACCTGGCGGGTCCGCAGCAGCAATCTGCCATCTACCACGCGGGCCTCGCGCCCACCCCGCCCGCCATGACGCCTGCTTCCAACACGCAGTCGCCACAGAACAGCTTCCCGGCAGCGCAGCAGACGGTCTTCACAATCCACCCCTCTCACGTCCAGCCGGCGTTCACCAACCCGCCCCACATGGCCCACGTACCTCAGGTAAACCAGCTGTAGCCAGCTCTCTGCGAAGACCACGTAGCACAGGAAGTTATCAGATAAGCAGCCACGAGCCGGACGCTCTCCACGCTAGGAAACCCTGTGTGATTTGCCTGTCTCCCTTCTCCTGCTCAAATACACGTGATCTGGCCCTAACTGGATGTTTGTGTGGTTTTGTAATGGGGTCAGTGAAGTTGCTGATTGGTCAGTCCTTTAACGTTTTCCAGCTGAGACCGAGACCATATAAATATCTTTGACTCTGGAATGCAACCCGGTCCTCCTGCCCTTTCTGTGTCTGCTTTCTGTGTTTAAATGGCTTCATTGAGATGTATTGTATGTCTCCATACATATACTCTCTCTTTTTCTCTCTCTCTCATACACCCACTGTCTCTCGCACACAGTCACACACATGCACTGTCACACACAGGGAAGTGTGTGGCAGGGAGAAGGACCTTCACAAATTCTTAGCGCTCTGGCTACCCTGGGCCTGTCAGCTTGAATGTTGGTCACATGGATTCCAGAGAAATCTCTCCTGCTTTCTCTGGCTGTCCGTGCATCCGTCTTGACCATGTGGTGGACTGCTTGAGCGACTTGCCCTTGTACATTGGTGCAGTGTAACGAGAGGCTGAGAGCACCCAGGTGTTTGCATTTTCCTTACAGAGCAGCTCTGGAAGCACCTTGGAGCTCACCTCCGGTGTAAGCTTTAAAGGTGGGACGGTGTGGTTGCTGTCTCAGTGGTTGCTGTTTGTATCAGCGGCTGACAAAAGTCCGATGCAATCCAGGCCAAGTTGGATTGTCGTAGGAGGAAGAGGACCCCACTGAAGTTGGGCTCTAACACTGTCCTTGAGGCCTGCCCTGAGCTGTGGAAGGCGAATTGGCTGTATTCGATGTCTCTCTTTGCTGCTTTCAGAACAGCTCTTAGGTGGGTCTGACTAGACTGCCTCCCTGAGCTCCAGTTCCTGTCCAGGTGCGCCCCTGAGCTGGTGTGTGGGCTGGAGAGGACATCGGTGGCACGCTCAGGTGGCCTGTCATAGACCCACCGCTCTGAGTTGGCGCTGTGTGGCCCTGCGGCAACGGTGTGCTCTGGACGTGGGGGATTGCTGTGGTCAGTGCGGGCCAGCGTGGCTGGTTGGCTGGATCAGGAGCTTCCTGAGAGCGGGGTCCTGTAGGTGTGGAGCAGAGGCTGGTGGCTAAGCAGGATGTGAACATAGGCTGGGGTTCCTAAAACCTCACTTTGGTGTGTTTGTGCCGAAAGAGAAAACAGATTAATCCATGGGCCCTTTGGAATCTGTAAGGTAATGAAAACAGCATTTCCCTCAGGCTCATCAGGGTCTCAAATTGTGCACGGTGTGGGCGCTAGGAGAGGGCTCTTCCTGGCCCTGCCAGAACCTTCCCAGCTTGACAGTGAGACCAGATCGACTCGCTATCACTGGGTACGGGGACAGGGCTGGATGGACTGTTTCTCCCTCTCCCATCTCACTGGCGCCATTCCCTGCGACCTCCCTCCCTCCTCCTCCATCAGCGTCTCATTCAGCAGAGCAGGTTCTCACTGCCCTGGCTCCTTCCCCCGAGGGTGCTGGTGAGCAGGCAGGAAGTGGAAGGGCTGGGTGGGGGGCAAACAAGAAGAGTAATCCATGGAACAGAATTTTACAAGTCTCCACTTAAAAAGCAATAATCTGCTTTCCTATTCGAAAGGAACAGCTCTGTAAAACTCGTGGAGGCCCCCATGGAAGCCAGATTCTCAAGCATGATTGCTTCTTGCCTGTTACGTTGGGAGAGATGGCCCTGGGGTCTGAGCTTTGTGTAGACCTTGCCCGATTCCTAGAATCGAGTGATGAGAAATGAAGGCTAGGACTTAGCAGTCCTGATTCTCCCCGTGCTCGGTGGGTGTCTGTCCCCTCAGCCTTGCAGGATTGCTCGCTAAAGGGTGAAGCGTGTCTGTAGGTCCATCGATGTCCCACTAGGGAGTGTCCCAGAGAAAGGAAGGGGCCCTGAGGGCCCACTGTTGCCCTTTGCCTGAGAGCCCCAGCCCCGAAAGGAGCACAGTTAACATGTTGTTTAAGCTGGAGATGTTGCCTGTATGCGTAAAAGAGCTCTCTGTTTCAGGCTCATGTACAGTCAGGAATGGTTCCTTCTCATCCAACTGCCCATGCGCCAATGATGCTAATGACGACACAGCCACCCGGCGGTCCCCAGGCCGCCCTCGCTCAAAGTGCACTACAGCCCATTCCAGTCTCGACAACAGCGCATTTCCCCTATATGACGCACCCTTCAGGTGAGGCGTGTGTGTGCAGGGGCCGCCGGGCACCCCAAGCATTCTGCTCGCACAGGGCGAATGGCAGGCAGGGCCAGCGCTTCAAGCCCTGCATTTGAGAGCTAGCAAGACCCGTCAGTGTGCACAGTAGGGACCGTGACGACCAGTCAGTGTCAGGGCCGAGGCTGCGGGCCGAGTCTGTGTGTGTTCTGCTGGTCCAGGTTTGGCTTGAGAAGCAGCGGCAGCTGTGGAGCTGACGCTGCCTAGGACTCAGTTGGCCTTCCTTGTTATGACAGGCTGGGCAGGGCAGTGGTTTCCTTCCTGAGTCCCAAGTCTGCGTGGGGATTACCACCATGACAGTTTGATCGTAGCTCTGGAGAAGACTGCTGATGAGCAGTGCTGTGTGTGGATCGGCTCTGAGTGTAGCATTCGCTCCAGCCTGCACCCTGACAGGGAGAGACCATGATTGTGCTAACACTGGAGACTGCCATGCGTTCCTCTGAAAGCAGGGCTGGTGCTTGGCTAATATTTGGGGAGGGGGTAAGTTACAGCCTGTTTTTCTACCCCATGAGCAACAAGTCTGCTGGGAGTTTTATCTGCAGTGGTTTTACGTCTTACTGGTTTGTTCTACCCTCTTTCCCTCTCCCCTTTGGTGCAGCTGGGAGGGGGAAGTGAGCTAAATTGTGAGTCCTGTCCAGCTAGCACAGGAGAGGTTACAGTCATGCGCTGCAGACACTAGGCTGATGCGCGGTGTTGCCAGTTTTCTGTTTAAATATTCACTTTTCTTTCTTACAGTACAAGCCCACCACCAACAGCAGTTGTAAGGCTGCCCTGGAGGAACCGAAAGGCCAAATCCCCTCCTCCCTTCTACTGCTTCTACCAACTGGAAGCACAGAAAACTAGAATTTCATTTATTTTGTTTTTTAAAAATATATGTTGATTTCTTGTAACATCCAATAGGAATGCTAACAGTTCACTTGCAGTGGAAGATATTTGGACTGAGTAGAGGCATTTAGGAACTTGTGGGCTGTTCCAATTCCATACGCTGTTTCCGAGTCCCGCAAGTACCCCAGCTCTGCTTGCTCAAACTGGAAGTTATTTATTTTTAATAACCCTGAAAGTCATGTATACATCAGCTAGCAAAAGTAACAAGAGTGATTCTTGCTGCTATTACTGCTAAAAAAAAAAAAAAAAAAAAAAATCAAGACTTGGAACACCCTTTTACTAAACTTGACAAAGTTTCAGTAAATTCTTACCGTCAAACTGACGGATTATTATTTATAAATCAAGTTTGATGAAGTGATCACTGTCTACAGTGGTTCAACTTTTAAGTTAAGGGAAAAACTTTTACTTTGTAGATAATATAAAATAAAAACTTAAAAAAAATTAAAAAATAAAAAAAGTTTTAAAAACTGATATCCAGTTAGTGTGTGTTTGTATAAGCTTCTAATTAATATCAAGGCAGGAAGGCTGTGTTTTCTTAATATCCTGGAAGGTTAGTCGTCAAATGATTTTTCTTCTTCACCTTTAGTTCTGGTTCAAAGTATCTCTAGAAAAAGACAAGACTGAGATATTCTCTTTGGTGGATAGAGGTCTGCTTCAGAAGGAGGAAGGCTGGCCAGTTGGGCAGCATTGATACTCCACATCCTCAGCCTGACGCTGATCCTGTAAGCTTCCTTTTCAATACCTCCTGAACCCAAATGAGTGAGTGTCCTTAGCCAGAGGTCCTAATTCAGACATCTGCCTGTTTCACCAGTAGGGGGCAGGAGATACTTTTTAAAAAGCTGTGAATAAGGTACTGATATGTCAACTGTAATGGAAAAATAGGAATTCATTCATTAAAAACAAAACAAAATAGATAATCTAGAGGGCAGAAGAGATGCAGTGATGTACAAAGCAGTTTACGGCTAATTTACAAGCCTTGTTAATGTCCTCAATTTATGGGAGAACAAAGGGGAAAGCAAATGTTTGCAAAGAGCAGCGATTTCAGAGACCATAGTCCTAATACACAGAGCCTTTAAATATTGTTGGCAACAAATCAATATTCTGAAAACATTTTTTAATTCACATATAGCAATTTGTACATTATAGCAAAATTTGTGTTATTCAAGAATAAGTTACTTGTACAGTACATAAACAATATATAACATACCTCCAGATACCTCCTGCCTGTAATGACATAAGATGAACCTATTTTCTGTGTGTTACAATGTGTGGCTTATTCCAGCCCAACACTGGGTGACAGATGTGTCCTTGTTAGAGGCAGTGGAAAATATACAAGTTCCTCTAACCTGTGGGAGATGTTAGAGCTCACATGACATTTGCAATAGAAGACAGCCTTGAATAAGAGCATGGAGAAATCTTAGGCAACCCTTAGGGAAGAGTTCAAGGACTTGATTTTATATATAAAAATAGTGTTTTGTGGTCTAAGATTTTAATGATTGCTATTCCTTTTTCCTACACGGTCCAGAAGTGATCAGAGGCAGAAGATTTATGCCAGATAAAGCCATATGGATTGCTGGTCTAAAATTCAAGGCAGGTTAGTTGACTTAATTCTTTGGTGCTGGTGCCTGTTAGTTTGTAAAAGTTCGTTAAAGTCAGATTCAGGAGGCGATGGCGCTGAGAGCAGTCCCCTGGCTGTTGTCTGTTGGAGAGAACTGCAGCGTCGCGGTACTTACTGTCCCTTTGGCACTCGCAGCCGGGCTTTCCGCGAGGTGCCGGCTCGGCCTCTGAGGCCAGCGGTGGTCACAGCAGGACTGAAGGAGGGTGGCATGTGTGCCATCCTGTGGGCCAGCTACAGCCAGCAGGGCCTCTGAGAGGGCAGCGGCCCGGGGACCAGCTCCTCCAGCTCCACCTGCTCTAGCAGAAAGGAGGCCTGGCTGAGGCCACTCCTTCCCAGCTGTGGCAGGGCTTCCTGTCTCGATGTACAATATTTGAGGTGTCCTGTAACGCGGACACGCTTGGGAAGGAGCTGTTGTCCTTGAACCTTTGTACGGGAGCAGCCTGGAGGCGGTGACTTCAGCTCTTAGAATCTGAGCTGGGACTTGGCAGCCAGTGGGTCAGAGCTGAGCCTATTGCTGCCTCTTGGTACTACCTGAGACGTCTATGCCCCTGGCGTGAAGAGGTCATAGCCCAGATGTGGAGGGAGGGGGTGTGTGCGTGGTTCCTTGTCTATTTTGCCCTTTTTCTGCACCAGTGACTGTCAGCGTGGACTTTCTGTGATGAGCTTTATCTTTTAAGAGACATTCAAAATAGTGTGTGCTCCTCTGGTTCACGCTTTGCTTAGCGAAACCTGCTTGGTGTGTAGAAAATAAGAGTCCTTAGAAATGGACCGAAATCTGGATCGGGATCGGATCTGCTTTACAACCTGTGGGAACACCCAGGAGTGTTTTAAGTAAAAGTGAAGAGGTGGTTAGTTGATGCCCTGCTCCCCCCCACACTCCCTCCCACCCTCAAATCCCAGAAAATTCTATAAGCACTATAAGCAAAAGTCTCACCTCTGACCTCTTGGAATACTGAGAGCGGCTGGAGGGACAGACAGAACCCTGGCCCTGGCCAGATGAGGCAGGCAGGAGTTTAACCCCTTGCACTCCGAACCATTCTGGACATTGGCTACCAGCTACTCGACGCTAACGGCGGACACGTGCGTTGAATTAACTCAATTCCCCGTAATCACTAATAAACTGCAATGTCCCCTGAGAGGGCACATCCGAGTGATATGCTGAGAGGGGACAGCGGAGTGCAAAGGGTTAAAGTTCAGGCCAAGGTTTGGTTTAGCCGCTAGTGGATGTGTATCATACATGTTAAAGCTGAGCTGGTCCCAGGAGCAGCTGCCCTCACACTGTCACTGCCCGTCACTGAGCTCTGGGAGGAGCCAGCCCCCAGGTGAGTGGTGTCCTGTGTGTGCACGCGCACGCTCAGAGGCATCGGCCCCCCCTGGCAGCACGCTGGCTGGGCTGTTAGAGGAGCTGCTTGTCAGCCGTGGCACCAGACAGCCTAAAACCTTGTGGGGTCATTGAAAGAGCCGTTGGATGCTGGGGGCTGAGTCCACCGGAGGAGAACTTGCCACAGCAGAGTGCAGCTCTTTCTTCCTAAGGCACCAGGTAGAACTGGAACTGGCCACCCTCCTCGTTCGTAACCGCCTGGATTTCTCTGACATGGCCACGTGCGTCACTGCTCTCACTTAGGAAGGACAGCAGCAGCCGGCTGTCCTGCGGCTGCGCTAGGCCAGGAAGCAGGTGCTGGCTCGGCCCTAGTCGGGAGGGTTGCATAGCTGTCTGACTACAAACGTCTGAAGGGTATTAGTTCAAACAGTGCAATGAAATAGCAATGGTTCAGTTTTGAAACCTGAATCCTTTGAAAAGTTTATCTGAGGTAAATGTTTAGAATCATTTTCAGCCTGTCCTCTGTCAGAGTGTGTTGTAAGGCTGGGTCGAAGCGTAGGCGTGGCTGCCGCAGCGCTGCACACGGAGGAAGGGGATCGGGGCTTGTTAGTGTTTTGGGCTTCCCACCCGCCCCGTCCCCAAGTAGAAGGTCTGTCTCAGCTGTGACAGTGTCAGTAAGAAGTTTCCACTGCCAGCCTGGCCCTTAGCCTCCTCCCCTCCTCTGAGTGCCAGTGCCGGGCCCAGGGCCCAGGCAGGAGCTAGCGGCATCTGCGGACAAGAACTACATCTGTAAACAATGAGGAGAAAGCCAGGCGGGAACTTACAGGAGGCCCTTTAACAGGCCTGATAGAAGGGTCACATCCAAACTGGAAGGAGCAGTTAGCAGTGCCCCTTCACTCTCTGAAAGGAGGGAAGGAAAGTACATTCACCAGTTCCTGCCTGCGTGCTGTGTCCTGGGCCGGAGTCCGCTCCGTCAGAGCGGCGTGTACTGATTGTCTATGGCCCGCAGGTGGCTCCGGGAGGAGGAGTCCATTTCATAGTCCGAGTCCCGGGCCCGGGTGGCGGGCTCCGACTCCAGGTGTCGCAGGCTGTTGGCCAGCTCCTCGGGCGAAGGCACCAGGTGGAAGATCTGCTCTTGCGGGGCGGAGCGGCCGGGGAGACCCTCCGGGCCCAGCCCCCCTGGGCAGCCGGAGGAGCTGAGGTGGGGAAGGCCCAGCTCTGAATCCCAGCGCGAGAGGGAGAAGGGAAACAGGACGGCGCTGGAGGAGCCTGGGGGACAGTGACAGAGGCCGTGTCGGAAGGCTTGTGGCAGCAAGCGTTCCCCTCGCTGTGGTTCCCTGGGCCCTCCACCCTCATCCCTCGAGGGCACTGGGTTCTCACCTGGTGGCTGGGAGACGACCACCACGTAGCTGGACAGCCGGACGTCGCAGGCCGAGCCACACTCGAGGGGGATGGGCGAGCGCTGGAAGTGGCGGAGCATGTCCATGACCGAGGGGAAGTGAAGGTGCTGCACGCGGCACTGGCCCCGCTCGGTCAGCGACAGGCGCAGGTGCTGCAGGGGAGGAAGGGGAGCTCAGGCAGTGGCCCCTCAGGGCCTTGAACTTGGGGGAGCAGCCCACCTGCCTTGGCCATACCTTGGCTATGCCTTGGAAGTTGAACGTGAGCACGTACTCCCCACGCCGGGTCTCGCTCTGCCGGACCAGGAACACTCCGTGAGCGTCAGGGCCCTGCAGCTGAACCAGCTGAGCGGCCTTCACTCGGGAGATAGGGCCGTGGAACCAGGGGTAGCAGGACAGGAAGTGATCTGTCTTCTGGCAGGCTGGGTCCAGCAACCCCCCAGGAGAAGCACCTGGTTGAGAAGATGTGTGATGGTGACCCCTGGGGGCACCACGACCTCGGCTGAGGCTGGTTCTGAGGCGCCCAGGCCCCTCACCTTGGTTCAGGGAGTCGGTGCTTCCCCTGGGCGAGCTGGCCGGGCCGGGCTCCGGAGCGGAGGGGACGTGCAGCTCCGGGTCTGTGCTCTCCAGCCTGCGGAGAGGGCGGAGGGTAAGGAGCTGGGAAGGGCAGGGCTGGTGTCAGAGCAGAGGTGGAGTCTGGCCCCTCACCCTTGGCCTGTGTACTGCCGGAGCTCGGCCATCCACGAATTCAGCTGCTGCTCGTCTCCCACCTCAAAGATGATGTCTGTGCGGTCCTTCACCTGGCGGGAGGAGGAAGAGGCAGCGTGTGGGTCCTTGCGCCGTGTGTGCGTGTCCCCTGGTGTGGAAAGCGGTCACTCACCTTCAGCACAAAGGTGTAGAGGTTGTCGGGCATCTCGAGGCGGGTGCATCGCCGGACCTCCTGGAGGCTGGAGCAAGCTGCTTGTAGCTTGGGCTTTGAACTCTAGGAAGAGAACCCAGGGTTACTCAGGCTTGTCTTTGCAGGCCCCTTGCCCACCCAGGCCTCTGTTTTTCTGTTGAGCAGGCACCCCACGTCTGGAGGAAGTTAGCGTTCTGCCTTGCAGGGGCCCACAGAGGGCCCTCCGTTAGCCTCTGAAGCGCTGTCCTCACAACCTGAGATCCCCAGAAACCTGTGTGGGCTCGGAGCCAACCCCTCACCTGGGGGTGCACCGTTCCAGCACAGCACATGCCTGCCTGCTGCATCTGCTTCTCCCCACTGGGGAGCAGAGCTTATGCAGCCAAACCCCGAACAGCCCAGAGGGGGCATCTGTGTCCAAGCCCGGCCACCTTCCTCCTGGTGCTGCCCTGCTGCTAGGGTCCCAGGTCACTGTGACGGCGTTAGCTCCCCTCACCCCCTTCCGTCAGCTCCCCACGAGCATGGGTCTCGGGGCGGGCAGCCACCCCGGAAGATGCATCACCACACAGTCCAGAAGAAGCGCCAATTTTGGAGGTAAAGCCCTTTGCCAAGGAAGGAAAGATCTGGCTTTGAACGCTAGAACCTCAAATTTCCCAAACCTCTCCAAGCTGTCCTGCCTGCAAGTTTCAGGACAAGGTTTGGCTAGAGGGTGGAGGGTAGCAGAGCAGCTTAGCCACAGGCTTTTGGGGCTTCTGCCAATGTGCCTGAAGGGGCAAAGCCTGCCATCATAGCTGGTCCCAGTTACAGCAGTTGAAACCTTCGCAAAACAGTGGGCCCATGCACACGCACACGCACACAGCTCAGAGAAGGTGGGAAACAGTCCCCAAGCCCTCTGCCAGCAAAAGCTTCTTCCAGGACCGAGTGAGCCTGGCCAGGGCAGGAGGCTCTGGGGCACCCCCTACCGCCTCCATTTTCTCCTGTGATAAGCTTGTTTCTTGAGGGTCATGAGATGTCGCTGGCTGCTTCCAGCGGAGACCACAGGAGATAAGACGGCGGACAGAGCCTGAGGAGTGGGGAACTGGCCAGAGGAAGCCCCGCCTCCAGCCGCTCTCCCCCGGGCCGCACCTGGGAACAGCACAGCCCCTAACGCGGGGCGGGGTGGGAACAAGCGGTGAGCTTTGGGGGGTTCTCTCTGCCCAGAGGCTGATCCCCAAAGCCCTGTGCGTCACCGTGCTGGCACGCAGGAACGGGGCGCCTCTGACAAGGCTGGGACCCAGGCCACTGCCTGCCTCCGTCCTTCCCACACGGAGCGAGCGGGCAGGCTGGCCACACACGGGCGCTTCCCAGTCCAGGCCCGCCCAGCAGGTCTCCTTGGAGGTCCCAGTCCTGCCCTGGCTGCTGGACGCAGCGTCGGGGGCCACCGCAGCTGTGGGGACCACTCCCTTTGTCTCGCTAACATCACTTGTTGAGGGGACAGAGCATGGAGGGCTTGCACAGCTAGTACACCCCAGACCCAGTTTCTCTTCCCCATCCCTTCCTTGTACCCCCGTTTCTGAGCCTGGGAGTCAGGTGTGGGGTCTGTGCGCCCCTGGCAGCGCCAGCCAGCCAGTCTCAGAGCCTATTTCCTGTCTACAGAGGGTAAGGGATGGGGGGCTAGTTCCTTCTGCTTTGGTCCTGCCTACCCCCTTCCTCTGCTGGCTCCAGCCTCAGATCCCTGAGAGGAAGTGGGCCAGGCCAAGAGGGGAACAGGCCCAGTCTCCCTTTCAGTTCCACTCAGGCCTGGCCCCGGGCCCAGCCCAGCGAGTGTAGAGATTAAGCAGCAAAGCCACTGGTTTCGCTCTGAGTGTGGGGCCTCCGTGCCAGCTCCGCCCCGCAGCTGAGGAACTGCTGACCAGGGGGAACGGTGGGAAGAGAATCCCCTCTGCACCTGCGGGCCTGGCCCTTACCTTCCTGAGGCCGAGCATGACCGTGCTTCTTCCCGCCACCCGCCACTGGGTGAGAACGGGTCCCCTGCTCTCAGGCCCTCTAGTCCCCGTCTTGCTGCTCTCTGGACCCACCCGAGTCGCAGCGTGCTTAGGTGACCAAACGGCAAAGCCGCTCCAGGCATTAGTGCTGCAAGCAGTCACCTCACCCACCACCTCCTGCAGCGTCCACTCCTGGGACCCAGTTCCCCCAAAGCTGGCTGCTTTCTTGTGGCCATTGTGATGCCAGTGGGAACAGCCCACTGTTTGCTGTGCTCGCTGCTAGGAAGACAAAGATGCAAACCAGCTCTGCCACGACCCTGCGCTTCACAGCTAACCTTCCTGGGCTACAGCCCTCTAGGCTTTAAGGTTCTGTAAACCTTACACAAACAGCCACTTCAGTATAGCCCTGCCCGTGTGCTTCCGCCTTTCACAGCCCTCTCTCCGCAGGGTAGCGTGGCGGCCGGCTGGGGCCCGAGGCCAGCCAGCTGGGTCCCTGCGGAGGCAGAGGACTAGGGTTCAGACCACCCTCAGCATGCAGCGCCCTCTCCACCTGCCCGAGCGTGTGCACCATGCTCCTTTCCATCCTGCAGTGAGATTACATCACCTATTACGTGCCTAAGACAATCTACATCAAAATAAAACATTTCTCTGTGACTGTGCTTGAGTTTGTTTTGAAAAGGTCAGGAAGGTGGAGGAGCCGGAGGGCAGGGGGAGCTTTGGGAGGACAGTCCGTTCAGTGGCCGTTAAATCTGGGCAGAAACTTCCATGTACTACCTAAGACAGCGCAGGTGCTGGCTTTGGGTTTGTCGTCTGGTACGTTTGGAGGTGGCGGGACCGCTGCCTCATCCTCGCTTTCCTCCACCCCAGGGGACCTGCCTAGAAGGGAGGGAAGCGAGGGGGAAGCAGACCTTCCTCCTGCACCCGCCACTGCTCCCCCGAGTGCCGAGGCGACAGCCCTTCCAGCTTTCCAGGGACGACTCTGCCTCCTCACATGAGCCCCTGGCTGGCAGAGAGAAGACCTCACTGAGCTCCAGGTGCCCCAGCAGGAACAAGATCCCCCCAGCCTGGGACTCCCAGAGCTTCCATTCCAGGAAGCTGGACACCCCAAAAGGAAGGAGACTGGCAGGTGGGAGGCAGTGAAAGCCAACAAGGTGGCATCAAGAGCGGGACTGAGTCTACCAGGCACTTGGCTTTGGCAAAGGTCCTGAGGCGGGGAAGCACGTGGGTCCCCAAGTCCCCATGGGTTTGGGTTATTGTAAGGCAGAGCGGGAAAGGGGAGCTTATGCTGAACCCCTCGACAGGAGCAGGCCTGTGCCTGGCCCACACCCAGCCCTGACTGCCGCCTCTGCGGGAAACTCCGCAGCAAAGGGCCTGGCACAGACAGTCTGATGTGGGCAGGGTGGACCCTCACAATGGCTTGTCCATCCACTGTGACCTGCCTGCCACTAAAGGGGCCTTTAACCTTGAGTGAAATCCTTGAGGAGAAACCAGCCACCACCTGGAATCCCCCAGCCACACCAGCCCTGGCAGTGTTGTCTCTCCGAGGGCTTTGGGGCCCTCCCTCTCCTACAAATGGCAGTGGTGGGACAAGAAGCTGGAAATCGAGGTGCCCTCGAGCGCATCTTGTGGCCTGGAGCCTGGCTCCTCCATTTACTCACTGCAGCCTCGGCTTACACGGCGGCCACGGGCAGGGCCTGATCACCTGCCAGGAGTAGGGGAGGAAGGTAGGTCTTGGATGGGGGTTGAAAACTTTCAGACACGGCAAATTCCAGGTCCCCGTCGTAGAGAGCTCGGTCCCGCCAGCCCAGCACCAGAATGGGTGCTGCCTGGATGGATGAGCAAACATGCAACATTATGGAAAATGCTTACTCAGGTCTTCCTGGTTGGTATCAAAACAGCCTTTTAAAAGTACGAGTCCTAACCTGCTCTTGGATAGAGCGTCGGCCTGGGGGTCCCGGGTTTGATTCTGGTCAAGAGCAGGCACCTTGGTTGCAGGCACATCCCCAGTAGAAGGTGTGCAGGAGGCAGCTGATCGATGTTTCTAAATACCACACGAGAGAAAATGCCCTGCCTTGTCCCACAAAGGATTTCAGTCGGGTTACAGGGACGCTCGGGGAATCCCACTGCCACAAGTTTGTCCAGTTTCCTCAGCCAGTGCAGAGGGGTTTCCAGGAGCAGCAGCCTCGCACACAGCGGTCCACTGAAGGCTGTGAGAACTGGAGCAGAGGAACCATGTGCTCCCTGGACTTGGGCCACCCCGTGTCCTGCTCAGAAACCTTGGAGCCTGCACAACTGCTGCCCAGCAATCTCCCATTCTAGGGTTTGGGAATTCGTTCTGGCCTTGAGTCAAAACTCTGCCTCATGGACAGCAGTTCACCTCTCCCAGCCCAAGTCCCCACTTTCGTGAAGAGGGGTAACTGTGCCACCACCCTCCCATGAGAGAGCAGCGATAGAGCCACCTGTGCGAAGGCGCTCACAGTGGGTCTGGAAAGGTCCCGGGAGCGGCCCCAGGTGGGGATGAGCCTTAGGAAGCCAGTCTCCCCGCCCCAGGCCACTGTCCACTGCCCCTGCCCTGGAGTGAGAAGGTGAGGGAAAGGCATTGGAGACTAAGGCAACACCAAGAACAAAGGCCTGGGGTCTGCTGTGACTGGACGTGACGCTGACAGCCTCACACCACCCTTCAGTGAGCACCTGCCGTGTGCTGGGCTGCCTCCCAGTGGCTTCTGGACTGCTGAATCTACAGGCAGCACTATTCAGAAATTTTCCCAGAAAAGAGCATATCAAGGGATAGAGGTGCTGGACCACAGAAGTAGGAAGGTCCTTGTTCCAGAGCAAGACAATCCTTGGTGTTGTCTGGGGACACTGGGTGGGAACCTTCACCACCTGCTCTGGGCCATCTCTGCCTGAAGATCAGTGGGGGCGCCCATAAACTCCCACAGCCCTTGAGGCTGGTGTTTCACCCCCACTTCACAAGTTTGAGACAAGGCTGAGGAAACCTGTGGAGAGCATCACAACCAGCTGGCCTGGAGCCTGCCCCCGAGCCCGCGACCACGGAAACCCACCGGTACCAGGGAGCCCAGGAGACCTGGGGAGGGAGAGCACAGAGAAGGCAGAACGGTAGTG